CCCAGTGAGAGGGAGATGTCCCCAGGAGCTCGGGCCAGGTAGAGCAATCTTGGGAGGGCAGAGCAGAGAGATGCATAGGCGAGGAGTCCCACAGGCCCCACTCTGCATCCCCACCCTCCACGTGGGGGCAGTGGGGAGGTGACACAGAGGAGGGACACAGAGCATCTTGCACAGGCTGACATCCAAGGATACCGTCATTTGTCAGTTACTCGTGATGTCACTTTCACAGTGTGGGATGGTGAGTGACGGTCTGCCCGGGCGGCAGCAACACAGAGGTGCTGACAGCGGTAGGGCCTTCCTTACAAGATGAGCAGTGTCAGCTTGTGTCCTCTCTGTGCAAGGGCACAGCCAGATTTCACCCTGTGCTGCCTCAGTGCTGGTCTGCCCTGTCCTGCCACTTCGAACTCTGCTCTCTATGTGGCCTCCCACTGGAGGGCAGGAACTGCTTGCTTTTGCTCACCCATGTCTCCCAGGCCTAGACAACCACAGGCATTGAGCATATTCAAAAGGCATTGAGCATAGTGGTTAAGAGTATGAATTTGGGAGCCAGACCTCTTTCACAGCACTTGGCAAGGGTTCAAATCTCTGCTCTACAACTTGCAAGCTATAAGATCATGGGCAAGTCCCTGACCTCTCTGTGCGCCTCAATTTATCCATCCTCTGTCTTGGTTGTGGTGAGGGGTAACTGAGTTGTGAAGTGCTGTGCCCATGCTGGGTACTTACTGAGTGCCCGGTGAGTGTGGCGGTAGCAATGGTTGTCACTGTCACCTGTGAACCTGATGCCTGACCAAATGGAAGGCAGAAGCCCAGAGGCATGAAAGAACTCGGCCTTGAAGGGCAGACAGCACAGATGATTGTGGCTGAGGTCGGGCCAGGGTCCCTCCTAGCCCCTTTCAGGTTTTTGACCCTCAGACAATGCAGGGCAGTGTGGGGAGGACTGGGAGTCCTGGACAATCTGTAGACCCGAAAAGTACTGGTTGGATTTATGTTAAAGAGAAGATAGTGGAGGTGATATTCCAGGCTGAGGGAGGTGACAGGGCCTGAACCAGAGCTGTCACAGTGATGATGGAGTCAGGGGCAACTCTGTGCAGGGAGCTGCTGGGATTCAGCTGGACTTCACAGGACTTGGTGACCGTTTGAACGTGCAGGTAGTGGGGAGCAGGCTGCAGGCTGCTCCCTGGAGGCTGACTTGGCAGTAGGTGGTCTGTGAGCTCACATGCATGACACTGACATGCACACCCGCCGAGCGTCCACAGGGAAAAGCAGTGAAAGGGGCAGGGCTTCCCTGATGGCCAAGATCACCCCTGCTCCTGGCTGTGCAGGTCCCCCAAGAATGAGTGGGCTGGGGCCAGGGGCGCAGAGTGGCCTGTCTTTGGTGGCCATTCTACCTGCTCTCAGCCCAGGTCACAGCCATGGAACTTAGCAGTTACTCATCGCTGCTCTTGACCTGATTTCACACCTGCATTGTCTGGCTGAAAAGTCAGCGCCTGTGAAGCAGGCAGTCTTTTCTCGGATTTACAGATGAGAGGCTTGGATCCTTGCCCAGGGTCTCTGAATTAGGACATGAGGCCAGTCTCGTCCCACCCCAAAGCCCGTGCCACTGCCCGACCTGCCTGTGCCTGCCGCCAAGCCGGGAAGCCTCTCAGGAGCCCTCAGAGTAGGTGGTGTCTGCACCAGGCCCAACACAAAGACAGCAGACAACTGAGCAGGCAGAAGGGGCCTGGTGTTCTAGACCCGCAAGACACCCAGCCCTCTAGCACAGCAGTGCAGGGCAGCCAACTGGCAGGCGGGGGTCTAAGGGTCCTGGCTTCCTCAAGAACAGAGCGAGGGCCTTTGCGGGCTACCGCGCCCGGCCCCCAGGGGTGGGAAGTCATTTATCATCTCTCACAACTGGTAAGCATGGCCACTGTTTTTATTCCACCTTCTGAGTTACTTTTGTGGTTGAAAACTAAACAAAACAAATATTCCCAGATTCCTATGGGTTTACATTTCGGCCTTAATGGATCATGCGTATCCCATGGAAATCTTTAAGGAAGTCTTAAAATTCCCCGGTCCTGGGTCTGCTCCCAGGCCTGCAGGCAGTTGGCAGTGGGCTGGGCCAGCCTGGTCCGGGCACACCTTTCACTGAAATTGCTCAGATGGGTCTTGTCTTTCTTTTGCCTTCCTCCTCTTCCTCTCTGTTCCTGGTTAGGCTGACTGAAACCTCCCCCAAAAAAACTCCATCTCCTGAATGGCTCTGCCCACTGCTGGTGCTCGGCTCTGCCCAGGTTGGCATCAGACTCATGCTCCAGGCCCCTCTGTACCCACCTGATCCCCTGGGATGGCATTCCTCTGACTTATAAATATCCCACCTGCCCCCACCAACAGCCACTTGCCTATCCAAAATGACCTTAATCTCTTCTTAAACTTTGACACTCCCTCCCCCAGAAGAAGAGCGGGGCCTGTCCTTTTCAGGGGTCACTAGGGGTCATAAAGGGATGGAGCTGAGGAACCACGGTGAGACCTGCTGGTGGAGCCAGGGGGTCCAGGACAAGAGGCAGATGGCCTGAGTGTCCAGAAGGATCCTTCCGGGAGAGCAGAGCTCCCTGACCGCCGGTGAGAGGCAGGGGCAGTGACATCCCTTCCCAGTGGGTGACCTCTCTACACCTGTTTCCTCTTAGTTAGATGAGGCCAGTGATGTATACCTTATAGGGAGGTGGGATTCCATCACATTCTTTGTAATAAACAGCTAACAGTGCGTGGTGTTACACAGAACATAACTTGGGAAGTCAAGAGTATTGTCATTGTGGAAGGGCATGGCTTTGAAGGATTTGGGGCACAGGAGGGACACGATCACTTTGAGGTTTCAGAGAGTCCACTCCGGGCAGCACTGAAAATGGATAGGGAGAAGCAAAGCGGGGGGAGCTGACGCGGTGGTCTGCGGGAGAGGGCGGGGGCGGGCTGGCAGGGGCAGAGGGTGGCAAGGCCAGAGCGAACCTGTCGGGGGGGGGGGAGGCGGAGCCAGAACTGCGGGACTGTGGCCAATTAGCTGTGGTCAGGAGTCAGGACGACTAAGTCTGCCGCCCCAGGTGACAGAGGGACGGATGTTGCTGATGTGTGCCTCCTGAAGGGGAGCAGGTTCTGCATGTTTGACTGGCCACTGCCCCCTGAACTGCCCAAAGGAGAGCCCAGCCCGTCTGCTCAGAGGGACACTTATCTGGCTCTCTTTGGTTTTTCCTCTGTGTCTCAGTTAAGTATGTGAGTCCCCAACGGTGGGGGTTGTGACACAAAGAAGCCACACTTGGGTCATAATTGTGAAATGAAAGAGGCCGCCTTTCAGCCTTTTTAAAGGGAGCCCTTCCTCATCCCCTCACCTAGCCATAATCTAGGGAGTAAAGCAACGTGCCCTGCTGCTGGGCCCCTGTATGGGTGCCTCAGCTACCTGGCCTGTGTCCTGGGCCACCCTAGTTTCCATCTGGCCACAGGAATAGAGGCGGCACCCAGGGTGGAACTGAAGTCAGACCAGTTTCAAAACCAAGGTCACAGAAACCACAGTTTAGGGAGCTGACAGTGCTGGCCAGCCCAGGCATTGTCCTACAGGATGGGCCTGCCTGCCCGGCTAGAAGAGGGCCCTGCCCTATCATATGGGTAGGCCTGGGCTCAGAGCATGCCTCGGCCCCTTTGGACGCCATAGGGTGGGGACCATGTCTGTCTGGTCCACTGTCACATCCCCAGTTGCCAGGGCAGGTCTGGCCCATCAGTAGCTGCGCAGCAAGGGAGGGTCACTCAGCCTCCCTGAGCCTCAGCCGCCTGTGTGGGCAAGGGTGCTTCCCATGCAGGATGGCTATACAGTCACTGTTCCGTCGGGCACTCGCGGTCTATGATAGATGCTGACGGCACTGTGCCGGCAGGTGTGTGTGCACTCCACGCCTGGAGCCAGGTCTGGAAGCCAGAGGAGACAGCTGAGATGGAGGGGATGTGGACAGCCTGTGCCAGGGCTCATGCTCTGAACCTTAAAGCTCTGAACAAGTATTGTCACATGTAGGGTAAAATGCACGTGTGTCTGACACAGAAGCAGGAGGAATATGCTTGATAGAACATTGCCTAGAAAGAGCAGGGGACAAAATTGTGTGCGTACACTGCAGTAGAACTTATGAAACTGCTCTGCATGAGGATGGAACCTGGAAGCATGCGGAGGGGAATGAGAGCAGGTGGTGGGTTTGAGGGGAAGGGATGCACTTGAAGTTCTAAGAGTGTTGTCTCCTCCCATGTTCATCATCTGCCTACTGCCGCTCCTGCTAGAGTACATGGTCCTTGCTAGCGGTCCCTGCCCTGAGCAGATCTTCAGCAAATGGCCACTGACCCAGGCCTTGGCAAGGGCCCAGCAGCAGGAAAGCCTGGCCTGACCCTGGGCCCGGAAATCTTACCCTAAGAATCAGTACAAGCTGAGCTAGAGAAGATGATGAATACAACAGATGCCACTGAATCATACACCTTAAAATGACTATTTAAGTTACGTGACTTTCACCTCCATTTGAAAAAAACTACCACCACCACTTACTGAATGGCTGTCCCATGGTGGGTACTGTGCGGATGCCTAATTGGCATCGTTTTCACTTCTGGGGCAGTTCTTTAGGGTGGCTTGGGGCCGCCAGTCAGCAGACAGAAACTAGCAGGAAGGGGAAGGCCAAGGCCGGCCACCTGCTGGTAACAGAGTCCAGATTTAAACTACACTGTGTCCTTTGCTTGGTAGATAAAGAATATCTCTGGGGGATTTGAGAAGAAACTGGTTACAGTGGGGTCTCTAGGGATGGAGATGGGGGAGATAGATTTACTTTCCACTGTGTGCCACTTTGGAACATCTTACATTTGGTCCATGTAAGTGGTTACCCAGTCAGAAGGTACTAGGAAATCCAGAAGGAACATTTCATTTACAAAAAGAAAACAAGACGCTCTCTATATTGTGTCAAAAAGAAGCATTCTGAGACCAGGCCCACTGGATTCCTGCCCCTTTTCAGTAGACTCTGAGCTGTGGCTTCCTCAGTGGTCAAAGGGCAGTGGTTCTCCTGGCCTCACGTGGCTACTACACAAATACAGTGACATCCCCAAAACACAGAACCTGCGTTATTCCACTGTGCAGAGGTACGTGGGGTGGTCGCACCACAGAGACAGAAAGTACAGCAGTGGTTGCCCAGGCCTGGGGGAGTGGAGAATGGGGAGTTAGTGTCTAATGGGGATGGAGTTTCAGGTCTACACCTGAAAAGAGTTCAGGGGACTGCTGGGGGTGATGGCTGCACAACAGTGTGAGTGTCCTGAATGCCACAGAGCTGTGTGCTTACAAACAGCTAAGATGTTAAATGTTATGTGTATTTTAACACAATAGAAAGAAAAAATAATAACATAAGAGACAAAAAGCAGCAAAAAAGGGAGGGAGTGGGGGTGAAAAAATGAATTAAATGACAAAAGGGGACAGTGTAGGTAACAGCACACAGCCTGGCTGAGAGCATCTGCAGCCCGCCCTCCTCCCCGCCTCTCCCCACACACCCCCTCCCCACACACCCCTACGCCACTATTTGAGTTCCGCCGCCTGGGCCCCACATGCACCTCTGTGTCTCCGCTTCTCCTCCTCAGAGAGAGCTACCGATGGCTCCCTGCAGAGCGAGGACTGGGCTCTCAACATGGAGATCTGCGACATCATCAACGAGACCGAGGAAGGGTAAGGGCCCCGGGGGGAAGGGGCACCAAGGGGAGGGACTCTGCAGGGCAGCGTCGGCGCCACACCTGCCTTCCGCAAGAAGCCCCATCGCAGCCCTTCTGCAGCACAAAGGTAGACCCTGCTTGTGGCCCTTGGTGCCGGGGGCGCCGCAGAGGTTGTATGAGCCCCACCCCAGGCAGGAACAGGGCCTCTTAAACATGTGGAACCAAGATCCAGTTAAACCCTGTCATCAGATGGAGGAGAGGCCCGGAGCTGCTGGCGCTCAGCCGGCCGCTGGCCCCTGGGCACTGCCAGCCACACAGCCTCTCTTGGAGGCATTCCAGCCAACTGGACCTTCCCAGGACATCACCTAGGACAAGGCCAGCTGGCTACTTCTAGCATTAGGAGTTCTATGTTCTGTGCACTGGGGACTCTGGCTTTCTCTACCAGCAGGAACAGACTTTGATTTGCTTAATATTTGAAACCAGCAGGGAGGTCAGGAGAGAGCAGCAAAAGTGAATTGGAACTGAGAGGCCAGTGGACATTGCCTTTGCCAAGTGTTTCCAGTGAGCAGGTCCCAGCATCCCTCTCAGCACCAAGGAGTCCTGCCAGAGCCAGGGAGGTGTCACAGTCCTGGCTCCAGACCCCCTATGGGCCATCACTGACAGGCTGAGTGACCTTGGTCAAGTCAATTTACCTTCCTAGATCTTTGTCCTCAAAGGCAAAGCTCTTTAGATCTTTCCACAGTAAGCTCAAGGACCTGAGGGGAGCAGAGAGGATGTGGGGTCACTGTCCTCAGGCAATCCTGGGAAGGACAAGGAGGGCTGTGTTCCAGGCACTGCATGAGGCACAGGAGCCCCAACAGTGAGCCAGGCAGATGTGACCCTTGGCCTCACTAAGCTTGTCATCTGAACGTTAATCTCTTGTTGACTCCCGATTGGGTGTGGCCTCCTTGTCCTCCACTCTGTGTGCCTGGCAGAGTCCTAGTCCCCGCAGGCCCACAGCAGGGGCACACATGGCAGCAGGACTCCCGGTGCCATGCCCTTCTCTGGGCTGCGCCTCAAGTGGAGACAAGCCCCAGTAGAGAGCTGAAGCGGCCACAGTGAGTGACTAAGCCCGGAACAGAAACCAGCTTCCCCAGAGGAGCCTGGAGGCCATAACTGCCCCAGGGCCCTGGGCTGGAAGCTGCCCTCACACTCCTGGGACATTCCCAGCCTGTCAGGCTGGGCTGTGTCCCTTGCCCTTCATGTCCTGCACATTCTCCCCATCACAGCCCTGATAGGCCTCCACGGCTCCGCCCCTGGGCAGGGGTTGCTCCCAAGAAGCCTTGCCGGCCACCTAGGCCAGGCTGGGGGACCTGTTTCTGGGTTCCCGACTCTCCTGCCCTGCCTTGAACAGAGTCAGCACTGACAGTCAGCTGGAGGCCCCCCGACAGCAGGACGCACCCAGATGCACTCACTGGCCTAGGAAATGTCGCTCGTGTTCCTGCTACATGCTGGGCTCCCGCAGCAAAGGGTCAAAGAGGGCTCTGTCCCTGCCCTCCAGGAGGTGTCTTTCTCAGCCAGGCAGTCAGACCCGAGTCTGTGCCTCGGGGAGGTGGAGGCTGGGAAAGTGTCATGGGCCAAGTGCATTTTAGCTAGACCTTTGCCAGGCAGACCTGGAAGTTGGGGGGATACCAGGCTTTTAGGCACAAGCAGTTGGAACTGTATTAAGCTCCTGTGCAGCACCAAGTGGCAAGATGAAAGGTCTGCACCCCTCCAAGGCCCCCAGGGCTCCCCCACAGGTGTCCCTGGCCACGCCCTCTGCCCTCCCCCACAGTCTGCATGGCCTCCTTCCACCTCCCCACCCCAGGGCCCTGCGTCTACCTGAACCCCTTCCCCTGCTCCCCTCAGCTGGCTCCATCTCGGTCACCATGCTCAGCTGTAATGCCACCTCCTCAGAGACTTCCCTGACCCTCCTCCCCCACACTTACTTGCTTTTACCGTGGGACCCCCTCACTTCCCTCATTTATGTCGGTCCCCCTGGAATGTGTGATCCTCAAAAGCAGGACCGTGGGGTCTTGCTCACCAGTGTGTGGTGCCAGCATACATGGGTATTTAATAAGACTTGAGTGGAAGCATGGGTAGAGAGAGGACTGGCCAGGATGGGGTGTTGGCACTCTGCCTATAGGCTATTGGTTCCTAAACTTAAGTATGTATAAGCACGCAGATACCCTGAGGGTGGTTTAGGGGCTCCAAGGTGGGGGCCCGGGGTTCTGTATCTTAACAAACACACCTTCCCACAAAGGGCTTCTGGGACAGGGGGTCTGGGGCCCACCCACTGCGAATCACTGCCCGGCATTCACAGTCTGCTGAGTGGATCTGAGGGCCGGCAGGCAGACTGTGATATGATCAGACCCTGGACACTGAGCAGACAGAGGAGGCCTTGGAGGGCAGGCGGGAGCCATTCCCTTGTCCTGGCACCTCTTCAGGTGGTGCGGGCGCCCTCCCGTGGCTGGTCAGGAGGTTCCACTCCTGAGCCCTTCCTTCCTCTGTCCCTCTGCCCAGTCCCAAAGATGCCTTCCGAGCAGTGAAGAAGAGAATCGTGGGAAACAAGAACTTCCATGAGGTGATGCTGGCTCTCACGGTGAGCACCCTGTCTGTCCGTCCTTCTCTCTGTCCGTGGGAAGCCCAGGCCCAGAGGGACTGCCAGCCACCTGGGGCTCCTCTTCCAAGGGCTGGGAAGGAAAGGTTCATGGGCAAAGTGTTCTCCTGTCTACTGTGCTGGCAGGCGTGGAGTGGCAAGAGAGGCCAGTTGGAGAAGTTCTCTAACCTACTGGCATGGGGACAGACACGCTGAGGCCAGAGAGCCTACTGGGGGACACCGAAGCTCGGTGAACCCAGGCCTCTGCAGGGCGCAAAGCCTGGCAGGCCAGAGGGGGTGCTGTTGGGCACTTGGATGCCCTAAGAAATGAACATTAAAACAAACACAGGTGGCTGAGGACAGCCCTCACCCATAACAGGCAGCGCCAGGCATGAGTGGGCACCCTGGCTGCGGGTGGATATGGCCGGGAGTGAGGACAAGGGCAGTGTGGGCAGCCTCCCCACAGCAGCACTACAATCCGGCAAAACTGAAAAGCAAAGGCACCTCCTGCTGAGAGTGGGAACAGGGATTGGGGTGGGAAGTTGAGCACCTTTTGCTTGGGCCACAGGGTCCCCATTAGATTGAAAGTGCGCTTTGCTTTCCACTTGGAGAGCCACCTCCCCTCTAGACTGTATTCTGCTGAGAAGCCACATCAGGCCAGGACTCTAACTGAGAGGCCTCTGGCCAGTGCACCGCCCTCTGCACCCCCAGCCCCACCCCCAGTGAAGCAGGCCCTGAACCCAGCATTGTCCCTGCTTCTCTGCATTCCGGGGCCTCACTTTAGGAAGCCCCATCATCTGCTCAGCCTTCGCTCTGGGATGTAGGCAGAGTGTGAGGGTGGGAGCCCTGGGGCTCCCCGTCCTCTGACAGGTGCTTACTGGCCCCTCGCGGCCTCCAGGTCCTAGAAACCTGCGTGAAGAACTGCGGGCACCGCTTCCACTTGCTGGTGGCCAGCCAGGACTTTGTGGAGGGCGTGCTGGTGAGGACCATCCTGCCCAAGAACAACCCACCCACCATCGTGCACGACAAGGTGCTCACCCTCATCCAGGTGAGTGCGGGCAGCAGGCGGGCCAGCCAGGGAGAGCCCGGCTGCCTCTCGTCCCAGGGGAGCGCTGCCTCCTGCCTTGGCCACCCTTTCCATTTGCTTCCGTCTGTTTCTTGACGGGGCCGTCTTCACTGTCTGCTAACTGGACGTTAGCAGTTAGGAGCAGGAGAGAGCAGTGTGGGAGCATGTCAGCTGTAGGCCTTGCTGGGGAGGGGGTTGCCTGGGCAGTGTAGTCAAAGGACCAGCCAGGGGAAGAATTTCTGCTCTGGAGGGATGGGCAGGAGGGCTCACAGAGTAGATGGTGAGCAGTGGTTACTGGCCATGTCCCCTTGTCCCCTCTCAGTCCTGGGCTGACGCGTTCCGCAGCTCGCCTGACTTGACAGGTGTGGTCGCCGTCTACGAGGACCTGCGGAGGAAGGGCCTAGAGTTCCCGATGACCGACCTGGACATGCTGTCACCCATCCACACGCCCCAGAGGGTAAGGAGACTCACCATGCGGGAGCAGTGGGAACGGGGGGCAAGGGTAATCCCCAGGCGGGTTCTGCAGTGGCTTCCTGGTGGCTACCTCCTGACTCCCTGGGATTCTTCCCAGCCTGGCTAATCCTCTTTTTGCCCTGTAGACTGTATTCAACTCAGAGACACCGTCAGGACAGAATTCTGTGGGCACTGACACCAGTCATCAAGGGGACTCCAGCCAGCACACCACCCCTCTGCCCATCACAGCCTCACTCCCCAACGACACACCCATAGTGCCGACCCCTGAGCAGGTAAACCAGCCTGAGGCAGAGCCGCCTGAGGCAGAGCCACCTGTGTCAGGACAGTGGGCCGAGCCATCCCCTGCACACATCAGGGAGAAGCCCCTGTCGGTATGAAAATTATTGTCCTGGAGCCTCTGCTCGGTCCCCACACCACCCCAGAAGCCGTGCATCTGTCTTCCTGTTTGAGAGATGAGGCTTAAACAGAGAAATTCACTCACCCAGGGCCGCGCAGCTCATCAGAGACAGTGAGGGGTTCAAGCTCCAGCCTGCATGTCTTCAAGCAGTCTCTGTCCTATTCCCCAGCTGCTCTCCAAACTGGTCTCCGTGGAGAGCTTCAGGCAGCACCAGAGAGAGCAAGTGCCTAGCAGGCAGCCCTTCAACCAGAGGAGCCCCACTTTTGTGGTTTGCTTATGTGCTCACATTAGATTTCATTTGAACGGAGGTTCTGGCTAACAACAGTTATCAAACATGCAGAAAAACGGTTTTTAAACCTTTGCATTGTACTTTGATGCTTCCCGTGAAGCCTCGAGGTTTGAAGTGTGGTGTGAGATCCCAGGGGCTGGAGCCCGGAGCAGGTTTCCCGGGGCCATGTGAATAGCACCGAAGGATCACGTAACCACCTGAGACTAGGTGGCACACTGACTCAGCTTCTTCCTCCTGAAGTGGGCCCCAGGAGGGCAGTCCACAGCCACGGCCAGCATCGGCTGGGTGCTCGGTCATTTTAGACTTAGCTGTTGGCGTATGGGCCAAGGCCTGGCCCTGGCAGGATGCCCACTTTTGAGCTACTTTACAAATTTCAGGCCTATCACATCAGCTAAGTGTAAAAGCTTACCTGTCGAAAGTGCTGGAGAGAAATACATAGATCTGTGATGGACATAAAAGAGAAACTTTGCAGTGTACCCACTGAGCTCTTATACAGTCATATTTGCATTTATTAACAAGTAAACTTACTAACAGCCTTTCACACCCTAAGCTATTTGAAGGGAAACTTCTGTACTTTGATATCTCACAGCAAGTTATAAAGTCACCTCCCAGTGTTCCAAATATCACTAGAACAGTTCCTCTAACTGAGCACATAATTGAAGGTACAAAATAATGATACATTCACTCTGTGATCCAAATTTTACCTAATATGGTTATGATTTAACCAAGTTACCTGAAGTCCAACATCTGTGTGGATTAAGACTTTGATTATATCTAATGCAAGAAGGTTATTGCTAATCAGAACTGAGTAGTCTTTAATTTCCAAGTCCCTTTTTGTCTCCTGGGACATGTTAGGACTTGCAGGCATGTTATAATTGGGTCCCATCTGACCTGGACACACTGGGTTTGTGATCAGTAGTTTTTCCACACACTTCTATCAAGAACATTCATTTAATAGGCCAAATGTGCCAAACTCTTTGGGGGTTTTGGAAGGTGTCTGAAGTGTAGTCGACGCCTACCTGTGTCTGCACCATTTCTTCATCGTAAGGGCTAGGATAATGACATGTGCCTTGTAAGACCATGGTAAAGTTTAATTAGCAATGTACAGTAAATGCTTGGCACTTAGTAGGTGGTCAAAAGATGGTAACTTCTATCACAGGCATTATGAATTTATGTAGTGACATTCATATTCTGAAAATAACTAGGTCACATGATTCAGAATGTACCATCATTTACCAGGCCGCTTAATACCAGACTCATGAGCTATTCCATGACCAAACGGATCCCTTCCTGGACACCCACAGTGTACACAGTGTTCCCGAGGAGACTGTCAACACTCCACAGAGCTCCACAGCATAAGACACCGGACAGCGGCCGCCTCCCCACCCCTTTGTGTGGCGATTGTGTGACTTGATTTATACTGATTGCCCAAGCCATGACCTTGGGACCCTTTGATCCTTGAAAACCTGCTAATGTCCCTTTAACAAGGGCTGCATCTGAGTTTCAGACACAAGATGTGAGGGGCAGCACTAGGACTCAACCTTGGAAGAGCCTTGGACACCAAAATAGACCGGGAGCCAGGAGCAAGACAAAAGGCCATCCTCTGGGAGGACAGCGGGCGAGAGCCTGCCATCCTAGGGGGGAAGCGGGCCTGCTGGCTCCCTCACGTCCCAGGGGTGACCTGCCTCCAGGGCCTTGTTAGCGGCTGCCCTGGACCCCGGAGATGCTGGAGGCCTCCAGCCGAGCTCTGTGGCTCACGCACTCTCGGCTGCTTTCCACAGGCCTCTCACTGAACGAGGCTTCCCAGTTTGGCAATGGTAACGGTTAGTTGCACCTCTGTGAGAGGGGCTATGGGGGTGCAGGGCAAGCCCACCCGGCCTCTTGATGCTGGGCTGTGGCTTAGGAGCCAAGAGAGGGTGCTGGCAAGTCGGGTCCTCAGGCGCCACACCCAGGACAGGTGGCTCCAGGCTCTGTCCCCTTGAACAGCAATGCTGCGGACCCCTGGCTTCTCTCACTGGGGCTGACGGCATGTTTCAGATCGGGAAGCTGCGCAGTGAGCTCGAGATGGTGAGCGGCAACGTGAGGGTGATGTCGGAGATGCTGACGGAGCTGGTGCCCACGCAGGCGGAGCCCGCAGACCTGGAGCTGCTGCAGGTGAGCAAGCGTCTGTCCCCAGCCGACTTCTTATTTGCACACACACGCTTCCTCTCCATTCACACTACAGTTTTCATGGCTTCCTCTGAACTCTGGTCACCATGGGAGATGTTAAAACCAGGGACTCTGGACTTTATCAGATTGGAATTCAGGGCTCTACAACACTCTGGTTTGAACAAAATAGCCCCTCTTGCTTCAGTTTCCTCATATCAGATTACTCTAATGATAGCCTTTATGTTACAGGTTTTACATGAGTAATAAATGAGGTTTTGCATGTAAAACGCCCATCCTGCGCCTGGTTCAGACAGGCTCCCCGTAACGGTATTGAGGAGAAGCTGGAAGGGGAGCTTTCTGCCCTCAGGGTACAGAGCTCAGCAGGCGGGGCGGAGAGCGGTGCCGGCCTTGGGAAGAGAGCAGGGCCCTCGGCGCTGAGGTGGGCAGGAGCTGTGGGTTTGCGCTCCTGTGTGTCACGGACATTCTCACAGTCCCACCCCCAGCTGGGAACCATTTGGGGGAAAGGCAACATCCCCGTAGAGGACAGTTCATAGAGGCACCAAGAAAGCTGGGGGACCCCAGGGTGCAAGCATAGCCAGAACCCACGAGGGGACAGAGTGCTTGGTGTGACTTCCTCATTTTGTATCAGTCTCCCACCAGGTCTCAGCCTCCTTGAGGGCAAGACTGTGTCATCCTCATCTCTATGTCCCAGCGCCTAACTGAGGTGCACTTGCTTAGAGGACCTTACCTTCCACAAGGAAGTGAAGGCAGAGTCTTGGAGTTGAACAAACATATGGGTGAGGGTTCATGAGAAAAGCTTGCATAAGTCAGAGCAGCAGGATCACAGTGGTGCCGTTGGTTCGTATGTCCCCGTCTAAGACCGTGCAAGTGAGAGGAATCCGTGCACTGCGAGGGCCGGAGCTGGCGGGCAAGGTTGACACAGTGACAGCTCCTAGGCACTGAGCATCCCTATAGGCCAGGCCCTGATGTGGATACTTGATGTACATTTACTCACTTAATCCTCTTCACCCACCCCTGTGAGGTAGGTACTCTTATTATCCCCATTTTACAGGTCAGCAAACAAAGGCAGAGAGAGATCAAATGGCTGGAAAAGAGCAGTGCTGGGATTTGAACCCAGGGGCCTGGCTGCTGATCTTCTGCTTTTGAAAGGGGCAGGCAGGGAAGTGGGAGCAAAGCCACAAGTATGTGTGGTCATGGGAGGAAGAGAAGGGAGGCCCTCCGGATATTGGACATCACTCAGGCCCGCCCTGCCCCATGCTAACGGTGGGTGAGGAAATCCCAGAAGGCCTGACCTAGGAGGGGGTGGGTAGCAGGGTCCAAAAAAGAAACTCAATATTGGGACAGTGCCTGGTCTTAATGGCACTTTTCTAGGAAAAAACTATTGGCATGTGGCCATGGTCCACAATGCCTGACAACTGTCTGGATGTTAAGGCCGTGACCCAGGCACCCGGCTACCTGGGGGTGGGTACTTGAAGAAAGGAACACTCAAGTCTTACAAATGAAAAACTTACAATGCTTTGGCTTTTAATTTATTTCTTTTTCCCAAACTAGTTTAAATATATGACACTAAATAAAAATTAGTCAGAGACATGGTGACTAATTAGGTGCAGTGTGAGGTCCTGAAACAGAAAAAGACATTAATGGAAAAGCTGGTGAACCCCAAATAATGTCTGTAGTTTAGTGAATAGCATTGTCCCAATGTTCATGACAGTTTCACAAAGTTGAGCTAAGGAGAAGCTGGGAGAAGGGTGTACAGGAACTCTACTGTCCTGACAACTTTTCTATAAATCTTAAATTATTCCAAAACAAAGTATTAAAAATAAATTAGTGAGGTAAAAATTCAAAATCAGGGCTGTGGGTAATAGTTGGAGTCTTCTAGTTCCTTTTGCATGTTTTGGTTACCAAAGAAGCCCCAGGACAGCCAGAGAAGTTGCCATTTGTGCAGCCAGCCACCTGCCGTCTCAGGTGTTCGGCTAAGCAGACAGCAGCAGGAACTTTATTCTGAAGCCTGCACAAAGGCAAATTAAACCCGCAGTGCATTTAACAAGGTGCTCGTCCCCTGTGTGTTAACTGGCAGGGTAGACACTTGGGAGTGAGATCCAAGGGCTCATTTGTAGCACCCCAGAAGCTCTTCTGTGGGGCTTGAAGTCCAGTGTGGACACCTCCCCATCCCCCAGGGCACACCTAGAGGCCGGGGCCCATCCACCAGAGGTGACCGCACTCAGGCCAGTGGCTGCTCTGGTCTCACTTGCTTCCTTGGCAGGAGCTCAACCGGACGTGCCGAGCCATGCAGCAGCGGGTCCTGGAGCTCATCCCCCGAGTTGCCAGTGAGCAGCTGACGGAGGAGCTGCTCATGGTCAACGACAACCTCAACAACGTGTTCCTGCGCCATGAAAGGTAGCCTGCCCCCTCTCCAGCCTCTGCCCAGCTGCCCCATCCTATTCCCTCCCCTCTCATCACACCGGCTGGCCTTCCATCGTCTCCCTCTCAAACACCAGGCCGCCTACCCTCAGCTGGCTTCTCCAGTGCGGGCAGGAATGCTTGGCCTCCCACCACCTCCCATCTCCTTGCCAGAGTTTGCCCTGCCGCCCGTGGCCCTGCCTCCTGCCTCCAGCATCGGGAGACAGCAGTAGGTGGTGACTGAGGGTGTGGGTCTGCAGCCAGGCAGGCCTGGTCTGTCGTGCCTCACCCCACACTGCCTCCTGTCGGGCCCTGGGCAAGTTACTTACCTTCACTGAGGCTCTTTGACTGTAAGCTACACAGAGCATTTCTGGCTAACTAAAGTGGAAAAAGAATTGATTGAGAAATAGCCTTTCTTATGTAGATAGCTTTAGGATCCAAAGAAGAGTAAAACAGTGAGGCACCCTGACAGCAGGAAGCACGGATCCCAGAGTGGCCCAACGGTCTCAGGGCAGAAGCTCCGAGACCGTGTCCCCTGGGTATCGCCATCAGTGAGTGGGCTCCGCGTGCCCGTCCTCCTGGTATCATTCTATTCGAGAATTAGCCCTTCAGGAGAAACTCTAAGTAGCTCAGCGTCATTGTGCCCACCAGCTGGGAGAGGGCAGGGGCCCCATGCTGGCAATTGCACCAAGATCATGGGAAATGGGGGACAGCAGTCCCCAGAGCGGCACTTAGGTGCTATTACAAAAGAAGGGAGAAGGGGTGCTGGGCCTGCAGAAATGACATGTCCACACTTCCTCTGTAAAACGCAGCTCACAGTGTCCCCTGCCCCACAGGGTAGTGGATGGTCCGGGCAGCAATGCCCATAAAGCCCCAGCAGTCAGTATCTGGTATAGGATACTGGTTATCCCCACCTCCTCCAGCCCTTGTTTATCTTGTATCTTTAACATCAACAGACAGTGATTCTAAACCAGTTCAGAGAAGGGTGGGGTGCGGTAGGCCACAGCTGCCTAGGCTCTCCTGCTCGTTGGCCCAACGGAATAAGAGTCCCCTCTCTGCCATTTCAGGGTGGCCCACAGCCCAGTCTGGGGTACCCGGGGCCCATGATGTCCACAGCCATCACAGCTGACATTTGCCTGGTACTTTCCAGGTCACTCACTTGTATTCAGTGCCTGCTTGATCCTCACATCTGGGAGGCAGGTCCCATTGTCACCCCTTTCTAATAGGCAAGGAGACTGAAGTTCAGAAGTGGTGTAGTTTGCCCACAGTCACACAGTGAGTAAGTGACAGGTCAGGATTCAAACTGATCAGACCACAGTATTCCTGAGCCACCTCACCAGCCCCTTGGCCTGACAGGGTAGTCTGAGTGGCTCTGTCCAGCAGTGTAGGAGAAGTGTCTTTCTTCACCCACTAGAGAGCCACTGACTTCCATATATTATCAAACATGTTTTATAAAACTCTACAGCTGACCCTTGAACAACATGGGGGTTAGGGACACCAACCCCCATACACAGTTGAAAATCCACATATAACCTTTGACTCCCCAAAACTTAACTACTCATAGCCTGCTGTTGACCAGAAGCCTAATCAATAGCATAAACAGTTAACACATATTTTGTGTATGTCTAATATGCTGTATTTTTACACTGAAGTAAGCTGGCAAAAAGTTCAGAAGTGGTGTAGTTTGTTTCAGACTGTTGCACATCTCCAAAAATTTTTCCAGTATATTTATTAAAAATAATGTGTGTGTAAGTGGACGCGTGTCACTCAGGGTCAGCTGTACTTCCCTTTCTGTGTGCGTTGCAGTCCCATTTTCTTTTTTGTTCTGGTCCACTGCTGTTTGTTTAACACTGGTCATGACTAGAGTGGCCAGATAATTAATAATCAAATTGGAGCACTCTTGCAATGGACAGAGGGGCACTGTTCCTGTTTCCCTGGGGAAGCAGGCTGGACCTGGGTGAACTGGATCTGTCCAGTGTAAACCAGGATGCCTTATCACCTGATTGTGACCCACTATGTTGATTTTGAGACCTGCAGTGTGAAAAGTTCAGCTGGAGCTGTGCTGAGGGACCCTTCAGTCTACCTCCCTGACCTGGGTCTTTTCTGTCTCATAGGTTTGAACGGTTCCGAACAGGCCAGGCCGGCAAGGTACAAGACTTCTCTTCTGTGACTGGACCGTGCCAGTGTTGGTGGGAAGGAGGGGGTGCTCACCTCCCTCCCCAGATACCCTGGGCAGGATGCAATTTCTCATCCAGGCTCACAGAGAAGGAAATCCCCTTCTCACTTTTTATGTCACTGTCCCTTTAAGGTAACCAAGATGCTGCCAGCAGCTGATGCCCCGGGGTGTTCCCAGCCTCCCAGGGGTGCAGCTGAGCTAGAAGCATGGGGGAGAAGAACTCCCTGTCTCCCAGTGTAGCTACTGGGGGCCCTGGTAACAGCTCCATGAGGAAACGCAGGCGCAGTGCTCCAGGCAGTAGGGAGCGAGGCTGCCAGCAGGCGGTGAGGGTAATGGTGGCCTCTCCCTCCCCCGCAGGCCCCAAGTGAGGCCGAGGCCGCAGCAGACCTGATCAACATGGGCCCTGAGCCGGCAGCCGTGGGCAACCTCTCCTCCCAGCTGGCGGGAATGAGTAAGTGCAGTGGAGGGGGCTCCGTTGAGGGCATACTGTGGTGCTGGGCACCCCTGCAGTTCTGGGGGTGCCCTCCTGTTATAAAGTTGGAGCTGGAGGCCAACAGCAGAACATCAGCCCAGACCCCACCTCACCAGGGTCCCAAACTGAATCTTGCTGAAGGTTGATCTCCTGAGGCAAAACATGGGACTGGGCCCCTCAGCCCCACAGCTCCCGAGCCCCCAGGATCTCAGATCACACTGTCCTGTGATTGCCCCTCGGTACCGAATTCTGCATGGCCTGACCCGTCTGGGTGAGCTTGGGAAATCATTCGAGCATCCTGAGCCCCTCGTCCGACTGCAACAGGGGCAGGAGCGGGCCCTCCCCACGGCCGGTTAGCGGGCGTCACCATCGTCACCGTTAGCTGTAATGTCAGAGGCCTGCTGCATGCTGACTCCTAGGAAAGAATTAAGATCCCATTTTGAATCGTTGATACCATGCTTTTTGAAAACAGTACACATCTGATCACTATCTACTGCCATTAGCCATTTACTCTACAAATAAAGTGGGTGGGCATTTTGCCTGTTCTCTGATCCTCACAAAAGCCCGCGGAGGGGGCCCATATCTCCACCTCAGAGAGAGGAAGTGACTTGCTCACATCCTCAGCCAGCAGGTGGCCCTCCCCATCCATACGCCCACCCTGTCCCTGCCCCAGTCCTACTGCTTCTCCAGAACCAACCCTGGGTGTCAGGGAGCCGCTCGGCCACAGTTCAGTGTTCAAGGACAGCCGGAGGGACCCATCATGTGGCCTTTCTGCCCCTGCAGACCTGGGTTCCAGCAGTGTGAGGGCTGGCCTTCAGTCTCTGGAGGCCTCTGGCCGAATGGAAGACGAGTTTGACATGTTTGCACTGACACGGGGCAGCTCCCTGGCTGACCAACGGAAAGAGTAAGTGGCCTGGCCCCACCCTGGTCCCTGCAGTTTAGGTCATTCCCTATCAGAGACCCTCTCCCCAGGTCCCTGAGCCTGGCTTTTTGGTAGGCACACCGTGTGGAAAGGCACATGGCCCCCGGCCTGCATGCCCTCGGGATGGTAGAGCTCTGTGCACTAAGTCAATCCCCATGGCCCAGAGACCCCTGTGACCAGGTGGCCAACTGCATGCCCCGTAGGCAGGGCTAAGGGAAGGGATGCCTGTAGGCTGATGAGCAGCTGTGTGCCAGCATCTTCCATAATCTGACCAGGTGGGGAGGCTGAGGTACTGGGAGGCCGGGCTGTTTGCCCTGGGTCAGGTAGCTGATACTTGGCAGCATAGGTTGGGAGCTTGGGCTGTCTGGTTCCAGAACAGTGCCTGCTGCCCACCGCCCTGCCCCACTACACTGTATACCACAAACAAAGCCTCTGCAGCAGCAGGGAGGGTTCCTGGTGAATCCTCTGGAACAGACTTGTCTGGACATTTCTGCTGTCCCAGATCCGCCCTTAATTTCCTGAGGAGTCCCTGTCGCCTTACTCAGGGTCTGCCTGCTCTGCGCCAGACCTGAGGTTCCGCCCCTCCCTGAGGACTGTTTGCATGGAGGCGCTCTCAGCAGCCAAGGCCGGCCCCTTGTCTCGTCTTCTCAGGACCGGCTCCATACAGGCTTATCAGGGGAAGTACTTTGCTTATGACCCAGGGCCGAGCGGTGGGAAGCAGGGATTTACAGCCAAGGAGAGATCTAGATTAAGGAACCCTCCCAGCAGGTCTCCCCAGCTCCCTAGTGGTCATTCTAGTGTTCCAGTACTGCCAGTGGGCCTGCAGAGGGCCCAGTGATACCCTCTCCACACCAGCAAATCCAGGCCAAATCTGACAGGCTGCATCCAGCCTGGGTCCGTGGGCTTGCTCACAGCCCTGCGCACTGGCCATGCCAGCCCTGGGCTGTGAGCTGCATCTTCAGTCTGGAGCAGAGTCTGTACTTCTAGGCCCAGGTGCCCTGAGACCAGCAGCTTACAGTTGCCATGGACTTAGGGGTGCTGTTAGTCCCTGTGCGGTGGAAGTTGATGAGTCAGGTGGGACTTGTAGCCAGGCCCACCCACATTGGCACCAGCAGGCAGCACAGTGGCCACCCCAGAGAGCCGCTGGCACCTGGCCCAGCTTGCCAGCCTGGCTGAGGCTGGCTGCTGCACCATAACTCCTTTGGGGAGCAGCGCCCCGGGGGCAGGAGAAGCATACCTGGCATGCATTCTCCAGGGCCTCCAGTCTCAGTGGGAGAGTAACGTGGGCACAGACCACTGCCATGCACTGCTAGCAGCTGCCCTAGAGAGGTATGCCAAGCACTGTAGAGACAGGGAGGTGGCACACAACTCTGCAAGAGGGCGCTCGAGCATCCACCATGAGGGTGGGGAGTCAGGAAGCTGTTTCAGGCCATAGGAGCAGCGTGTGCAAAAGCTCAGAGGCAGAGGAGACCGTAAGATGCTGGGGGTGGGACAATGTGCTGCATCGACATCACGTGCCTTCTCAGGTCGTGGGTTCTGCCGGCCCTGCCCTGCGTCAGATTGGTTTCCTCCCAGCAGAAAGTGCCTGGCGGGACCAGAGCTGCCCCAGCATCAGGTTCCTCTCCTTTGTTTTCCTGTGTGGCTGTCGCTCTCTGTGCTGCAGCTGGATCTGCCAGCCCCAGCCTCCTGGACTGGCCCCCGGCCTCCCCACCTGGCCCTACCCTGGGGCTCTGGAATGCTCGCAGGCCTTTTCTGCCCTCCGTGTCTGGCCCGCCAGCTCTGCCTCCTGCTCGCTTGGAAGCCGGCTCCTTGTCAGCCCCTCTGCTTCTGCTCCAGCCCCAACCGTAGCTGGTGCAACCACGGCCTCTCCCGCTGACGCCCGCAGGCCCTTCCCGGGGGAGGCCAAAGAGAGCAGCAGGCTTCTGGGTGAACCGGAGTCGGGTGCCTGAGCCACGCTTGCTGAACGCAGGGGTGCTCTTGCTCGCCTTCCTCCACATCACTGTCCCGGGGCCACTCCACATCCTCCCCAGTGCCTTGTGTCACCCAGATGGCCTCAGGTCCAGCAGCTGCCCATTGGCCTCACCGGGATCTGAGGTGCAGCCCTGTTGCCTCTCATGCTGGCATTTAGAGAGGGGTGGGATGCCCTTTGGCTGGTAAGCCACTGCAAGATGGTGCCCCGCCCAGCCACCTACAGGTCACTCTCAGCAGCAGGACGGAATTCCCCATTCAAAGACACCCTCACACAGAATCACCATCCATAAAATTAAGTAGAGGTGCTCAGAAAAGGAAACCTCCACGAGCGTGGGGGGAGTGGCGCTGTTTCTCACGCCTGGAGTCTGGCCGCACCTGTGGTGGTCCCTGGCTGTCTTGGCCTGGTCTTCAGCCAGCAGCACCCTCCTGACCTCTCCAGCCTGTCGCTGCCTGCCATGGAGGTCACCCATCTGATCCCAGTTCCCAGGGGTGGGAAATGAAACCCTCGCTACCACTATAGGCAGGCTGACAGCATAGGAGCCCCTCCTGAGGCTGAGCCCAGGCACCCCCAGGTCCACATGGGGTGTGAGTCCCGCTCTTCCCCGCCCGCCTCCCTCCATCCTCGCCTCAACTGGCATGCCTGGTATGGTAAGAGCAGCATGTAATGGCCACGGTGGCCTCTCTTTTTCAGGGTAAAATATGAAGCCCCCCAAGCAACGGATGGCCTGGCTGGAGCCCTGGATGCCCGGCAGCAGAGCACCAGTGCGGTAAGCAGAGGGGCCCTGCCGCCACTCCGGGGCCTTGCCAGAAGGAAGGCCTGAGACGCTTGAGCCGCAGCCCCACCACGCGCCGGGCTTGGTTCATTCGTCCACAACCCTTTCCTTGTGTAGCTCTCTGATTTATTTGGCCTTTTGTAGCTCATGTGATTATCCCATTTCACATCTGAGGAAACATAGAGGTTATGTCATCTGCCCAAGGTCACACAGAGGTTAGAGCAAGGACTCAGACCTGAGTCTAGGACAGGGAGCTGGAGTCCAGCATCCTGGGTTTCATCCCAGGTCCACATCTTATCAGCTGTGTGTCCTCGGGCAGATTACTAACCTTTCTGACCTGCAGTTTCTTCACCTTCACGCTAGGGCTTATAGTAGTGCCTACAAGGGCGTATAATAGGTTGCACGAGAGGGTGTGTTTAAGGTGCCTGGCACAGAGTTAAAGCTCAATCCACATTCTTCATTGCCTCTCTCGGGACCTGTTATTTGCAAGAATATGGACAGGGGAACAAGAGAACAGACCCTAGAAGCACAGGGAAGCATCCAAGGGCACCACTTTAGTTCCCTTTAACTGCTTGCCTGTGTATGAGGGACTGCCACGGGCCCAGCAACGAGCATGCTCTGGGTGGCCCAATCCCCTGGGCAGAAGCTTCCAGTACAATTCTTGTACCTTTGGTTCTGTTTCTGAATGCCTCTCAGGCAGTGAGAACTTCTGTCCATAAGTGGACAGAGTAGCTCCTTGGGCAGTAGCTGGAAACAGCAGGACCAGGAGTGGAAAGGAGGGGCCGTGAAGTGGGTGGCAGAGGTGAGGGCCGGTGGCAGCACAGGGCTTCTGAGGCCAGGGTGGGGCTAAGTGCTGGGGGGCGAAGCCTTAGGGGCAGCAGGGACCAAAGGGCCTTGAGCAGCTGGGAGGCCTGTGCTTTTACCCTGCATGAGGTAGAAACCATGCACAGTCTTGAGCAGAAGGGGACATGTAACTGACTCCCATTTTAAAAGGATGCAGCATGTAAGTGGGGAGAGCAGTTAGGAGCCTATTGGAGACTCCTGGTCTGCTAGCAGGGTGGTGAGGAGGGGCGGTCCCAGCAACTCTCCAGAGGCTCCCCAGCATCACAGGAGTCATTCCCAGGTCAGAGGTCAGAACAGGGCAAGACCTAGAACACTGTGGAGGCAGGACCAGCCAGGGGACCAGATGCCTCCTGTGTGTACTGTGTGACCTGCCACCAAGCAAAGTGTCTACACACCATGTCTCAGAGCCTCCCATCATTTCGGTCTTTTGCAGAGCCTGTGATCTGTGCCAGGCCCTTTGCTAAGCACTGTACATCCGCCTCTTACGGAGCCATCACACAGACCTTTAAGGCATGTTGTTATACCCTTTTACAGATGAGAACACTGAGTCCCAGGGAGAGGTTAAGTGAGACAAGGCATAACATCCTTAGCATGGTGCCTGGCATGTAGTGAAGTAGATAATCATCGTAGTCCTCTGTGTTGGTTACCCCACTTACAGGGGAAGACCCGGGCTTAGGATTGTGAGGTAACTCAGCCAGGGTCTCACAACTGGTCTGTCTGGCTCCGCAGCCGGTGCTGGTAACAGGAACCCCCCATGGCCTACAGAGCTGTGAGGCACAGAGGTGAACGCGCCCCTGCTCAGCCTTCCTTATCCAAGGGCCATCTTTCTGGCTCTAGGAATCCGGATGGATCAGATGCTCTGGAAGCCTGTGAAAGCCCTGCCCTCTCATGCTACCCGGCCCCTTGTGGGCAGAGACTGACTCCACAGCCCAGTGGGCAGCATTCCAGCTGACCCCTTCCTGTCACAGATGTGAGTGCTGCAGCCCAGAAACCTGGGTCACTTGCCCAGGGTCACACAGCAACTCAGGAGCATGATGTGAACAGGAATCAGGTCTCCTGGCTCTTACGCCACCTTGCAGTTAGGCACAGGGAGGAAACACACATACATCTACTTGCATGAAAGCAGGAGCTGATAAATTATTGCTCACTCATCTTTGATAACTTGAGAGATTTCAGCAACTTCCACCAAATCAGGGTATGACTTTCTTAACACTGTGTCAGTACACACCTGCTCCCAACATGCGTAAGTCTAGCTGGGTGATAATCTCCCCAGACTGTCAGAATGTGATTCCAAGCAGCAAAATACAGAATAGGATCAGGTGCCAACTCAGAGGGCAGCCAGTGACTGCCCCCAGGGTTCACAAGTCCCGTGATGTGGGGGTGTGGGGCAGCGTGTGCCCATTCCCGTACAGGGTCTGTCTAGGCTGGGGTGGTGGTCTCGGGGTGATGGGCTGAGGGCCAGGACTCCCGTCTCCCTCTGTCACCCGTGTGCTCTGCGATCCTCGGGAGTCCCGTTTGCCCCTTGGTAAGCATGAGGGGACCGCATAAACCAGTATTTCTAACCCTGGGCTGACCACCAGAATCCCCAGGGGACCGGGGCCTGGCCGCCTACTATGCCGTTCTGGGATTGCTCAGGCCGTTCTCCAGGTGAGGGAGGAACTGGCACATTCAGACTGGAGTCCCGGAGCGGCCGTGGCCCACCCCGCAGTGAGATACCCTCCTGCTCCCCTCCCCTTTCACCTGCCCCCTCACCCACCACATAGCTACGAGTGTGCACGCACGCACGCATGCACGGCCTCGGAAGGTGGTAGCAGGCCTGCTGCCCAAAGGAGCGCCCGTGGAGGAGGCTCTGGCCCTGCCCTTCCCGCCACCTCAGCGTGGCCCTTTCTCACCCAGATGGGAGGCGGCCGTGAGAAGAGCCCCAGTGACTGGATGGTGAGACAGGCGTGGTGAGGCGGGGCGGCCTGCCACCCACGGGCTGGGGCTGCTGGCGCTGGCAGTGGGAGCGGGGTGTTAGAGCCACCAGGGAGCGAGCAGCGCTGCGAGAGCCCGGGCAGCCAGGGCCTGCTGGGCCCAGCTGCTCGGCCCCATCTCCGCTTTGCTGCCTTGCCGCGCCCCCCGCGCCCACTTCCGGCTCCTGACTCAGCAGCAGGGCCTAGGCAGCCCCTCTGGGTGCTGAGAGGTGCCCGAGGCACACCTGCCCTGGGTTGAGAGCCTGGAGAGGGAGCTCGTGTGGGCAACCCAGAGCTCCTGCTGTTCCTGCTCCCGCCACCCTGGGAAACCAGCTCCTGCCCCCGCTCCGGGCTCCCCTGCTGCCTGCTGGGGCCTCGGGCTGGGGCAGAGCCTGGGGGAAGATCTGGCTTGGTGCGAGACCCACTCTGCCTCTCTTTCCCAAAGCAGCTAAATGGGAACTAGCATTGCATGAGCACTAACTACCCCGGGCCAGGCACTGTGCTATAAGCTCTTTGTTTCCATCATCTCATTTAATCCTCACAGCAAACTGGATGGTGGGTAATATTGTTAATCTCTCTACGGATGAGCCAGTGAGGGTCAGAGAAGTTAAGTCATCCTCCCAAAGTCACACTGCAGGACCGAGCCATATTCCAGCCTGTCTCTCCAAAGTCTGTGCCTGTTACCTTCCGCTGGACTTTCCCACTGAAAGAGCCTTTAGAGAAGGAAGCCCCCAGCTCCATGCAGGAGCCTCTGTGGCCCAGAGTGAAATTTCCCCATGCCCAGCCACAGCCCTTCGGAGTCCACCTGCCTGGCCTTGTCCAGTCGTCTCAGCACCTCCCTGCACTCAGGCCCTTCTGTACCCCCTTACATCATGGGCTCCAAATCTGCAGAGGTTTGGAAGACAGGCTGGAGGCTCCTGGCCCACAGCCATTCCCCTTTCCAACCTTGATGGCTGACCCCTCCGCAGGCTTCGCAGGCTTCTGTCAGATGCTCCTGAGCACCTGAGCTTAGTCCCTTCCTTAGGCCTGTGCACCATGCCCCTTCCCCAAGCCTGGAGCTTCCCTCCACCCCAAACCCTTGGCACATAGGAGCCCCTGCTGCAGCTGTTAAGTGTGCCCTCCACGGTCCCTGCTTAGCCTGCTGGCCCTGCATCCCCTTGCCCACAGCCTGGCATAGTAGACAGGTCTGTGGGTCCCTGGCAGCTGGGCAGGTGCCATCTTGGACTGGATGCTAGGGTCTTGACCCCCAGGAGGGGACAGGGTGGCTCTGACTACCCACCCCCCAGCCACCCAGCTTGTCACCCACTGCACTGCCTCTCCTTGCCTCACCTCTGCCTTCCCTCCAGATCCCTGTCACCCAGGCGTGTCTCATGGAGGACATCGAGCAGTGGCTCTCCACTGATGTGGTAAGTCAGGGCCCACCCAGCTGAGAAGCAAAGGCCCAGACCCACTCCTCACCCACCTAATAGGGGTTCCTGTTTCTGTCATGAAGAAATGACTGATCCTGGGGGCAGGGTGAACAACTGGTGAGGAGGGGAGCTTGGGACACCTCAGCCACTGGACGTGCCCCCCAATCCCGGGCATATCCCTTTAGGGAGGCCCCTGTGAACTGCCCCACTTTCAGCTGCTAGAGCTCTCCCTTCCCTGAGCAAGCTGCCAGATTTGGGTCCTGGGCTCTCCACTCCACCTGGAAGATGGGATGAGCCTAGCTCCACACCTGCGCGAGCTCAGGGAGACCCCAGCCACTCTCAGAGGGAAGTCCCCCCTCCATGGCCCCGTTGCACAGATCAGGAGACTGCTAAGCAGCTGCATGGGGCGCTGTGCCCAGGAGGAGGCAGGTGGGGTTCCAGGCAGTCTCAGGGCCATCCAGAGCTCCTTCCCCATTATCCACCACACGCTCTCTGGGTGCCAAGAACCAAGAGCCTGGGCACTTCCAGGCCCACAGGCTGCCTCTGCAAGCTGCCAAACTGTTTCTGCCTTAGGTCAGGCAAAGGACCGTCTCTCTGTCTGGTGGCAGAGGCTTCTCTGCCTGCCCAGCCCCAACTTCAGCATGCATGGTCTCAGCCTCTGGGCGTCAGCCTTTCCACCACAGGGCCGAGTGTGTCCACCCCTCTAGGCCCTGGAAGCAAAGGAACTAAACATTCACTGAGGACCCGCTGGCACCAGACACTGTGCTTGGCGCTCAGCGAGTAGTGCTCCCTTGGGCTTCCCCACAACCCCCTGAGTTTTACCAAGCAGAAGACAGAGGCCCAGAGAAGGCAGGTGACACCCAAGGCGCTTGGCACAAGAAGGGGTGGGGCTGAGGTGCAGAGCCTGGGCCTGCGCAGAGCCTGCGTCCCGACGCCTCTGGTCCTGCAGCCTGTGCCCCGCCCTGCCGGCATGGCCCCCAGGCACTAACCTCCGCCTCCTTCTGCTTTCTCAGGGCAGTGATGCGGAGGAGCCCAGGGGCGTCACCAGTGAAGGTAGGTCCTGCCCTCCAGCCCTTTCTCCATGCCAGTCTCAGAGCCCACCCCCAGCCTGTCTCTCCTTCCTCTAGAGTTTGACAAGTTCCTGGAAGAACGGGCCAAAGCCGCAGATCGGTTGCCCAACCTCTCCAGCCCATCAGCCGAGGGGCCCCCGGGTCCCCCTCCTGGCACCACCCCTCGAAAGAAGACCCAGGAGAAAGATGCCGACGTGCTATTTGCCTTATGAGTGTGGGGTCTGGCCCCTGCAGTCCAGTCCCTGCTGCTCCCACACCCTGTGGCTGGGCCTCTCCCTCCTTTGGTGTGTTAAGGCTGCTTTGGGGGTGACTTCTCACCCCCCTTCTCCCCACTGAGGGTGGGGCTGACCCAGCTCTAGCTGGGCTGTGCTGCTGGGGGTGTGGGGAGGCAGCCAGATAAATTGGGGGAACAGGTCAGTTCTGTGTTGGGATCCTGGCCACTCCTGTGTCCTTCCCCACCCTAACTGACCACTAAAGCAGGAGGTCCTGGGGCAGACAGGCTGGCTGCATGGTTGCCCCGGTGTGACACTCTCTGCCCTGGGTGATTTCCTCCCTGGACCGTCCTCAGGGGAGCCCTCTTCAGCGCCCACACTGCCAGTCAAGGCTTGGCTGGAGGCTGGAGGCCACGGAAGCTTCTGCTGATGCTTCTGGTCCCTTGCTCAGCCCCCGCCTCGCAGAGCCCAAAGGCCTTGGCCAGCTGTTGAGGGCAGGGTACATGGCCCTCTGCCAAGCTGCCCTCTGTCCAGGTACGATGCTGCACGTGGTGGGGGCAAGTCCTCCCCAGCCCCAGGCCGCTGGCGGGGGCTTCCAGGGATGCTGGAGCGCCTGCGGCCCCACCCCCTCCTTCACTGTCTTTCCTTTGTCCTCTGTCCCTCGTAGCAGGGCTCCACTGGGCACTGGGCCCCCCACCTGCTGGTTGGTCCTCTTGTACTGGGAGAAGTACCTTTTGTATCCCCAATTAAAGGTAGACAACCATCCTGCTAGCAGTGTCGTCCGTTCTCCAGGTGGGAAGTGACTGCTTAGCCTCACCAGGTGCAGGAACTACTTTGGGCTGGGCTGGGGGCTATCCAAGAGGTGGGCATCTGCAGATGGTACAGGTAGAGCAGCAGGACTGGGTGTCCAGCAACCCCTCTTACCAGGTACAGGCATCCCCCTCACACCCACCACACAGGCTCCAGCCACAGTTCTCCCCGCCAAGAGGCCCGTTGCTCTCCATGGAGTGACACCCAACGTCCGCAGGACACCTTCACACTGCTGTGACCCCCAGGCCAGCTTTTGCCCCACAATAGTAGCACAGTGATCACAAGTGAGGGAGTACATGGGGGCGCTGCCAGCGTGTGGGTAAATGCACCTGCAAGGAGGACGCCAGCCACCCTCCAGGCGCAAGGCCAGGCACTTACAAGGCTACATGCAGGCTTGTGGAATCATCATGACAGCCCTGGGTGACGCAGTTACCATCCTGTTCCACAGACACTGAGTGTACAATTCAGTCATGCAAGCTGCCCGGGTACAGAAGTTGGCACAACTGCATTTGTTTGTGCATTAGGCATTTCTTGTGCGTCTGCCTTGTCCCCATTTTTCAAATGACCCCACTGAGGCTCAGTTTGCCTGGTTTAGAACACAGCTGAGGAGCTGGACCGTAGGCCAGGTGCTGGGTATCAGTTCTTGTCTCATGGCAGCTCAAACACCCCAGATCCTGGGGTACCATCCTTTCTGGCCTGGCATCTCCACACTGGGCTCCCCGACAATCACTGCTTGAGGCACTTTGGAGCCTCCTGGCCCAGCCCTGGGAGGTCGAAGGGAAGGGGGCTGATGTAGGACTGAAGCGATTGAGCTGCCTGAAAGTTCAGCCCGTGGAGGAGAGCAGAAATCAGCATGCCTGGATTCAGGGGAGGCTGGGGGGGCCAGAGGGGGGCCTGGGTCTGTGTGAGCAGCCACTGCCTGCCGTCAGCAGGCAGGCAGCACCTGTGTGCGGATTCTGAGGCCTAGAGCTGGACACAGAGGAGACCAGGCCCAGCCAGCCCTCCAGCTGGAGTTAGGGGCAGGTATCGTGGTACCCTAGGCTTGCCCGCCCCTCGGTAGGGAAGGGGGCTCATTGTCTAGGTCAAGCTTCAGAGCTTGCAGATGAGGCAGGCCTGGAGGAAGGCAGCAGCTGAGCCTTACATAGACCCACTTCTCCAACCCGCACCACCTCTTCTTTTTCGTATGTGCGGGGGAAGCAATTCTCCCACTTTGCCCTGGGCAGCCATCCTCAGCCTGGTCTGAAGGATTTTGGGGAGATGGAGTCGCCCTGGGCCCTCTCCCTCAGTCATACCAAACTCAGCTGGTCCAAACTCGAGGGTACCACCTAGTAATGCATAAATTAGCTGTGTGTGAGCCCGGGTGACAGGAAGACTGGTTTTAACAAGGCGGACATGGCCCAGCCTTGCTTGTCACTCAGCAGGTGACCCCTGTGCCAAGGTGGAGCCCTGCTGGCAGTCGGTGCTTCTGCCCTGCCTACACCTGGGACTAGCACCCTCCCTCTCGTCCTGCTTTCCATCACGCAGAGGTGGCCGGGTGCTGGGGGCTCAGGCCCCACTCAGAACGGCTGGCCCTGCTGCCTATCCAGCCAGCACCCATGGCAGCAGACGGCTTCCAGAGGCTCCTTCCTTGGCTTTTTCTGACTGCCCACAAGCAGTGGCACACCAGACCCCCAGTGCCTGGAGCAATGACTGAATTTGTGCCTGATCTCCACGTTGGGTGAGGCCCCTGAGGTGCCTGGGTTTTGTGACCATCTTTTCATAGTGTGCACGTTTTTCAGCTGTTCCTCCGCAGCTGAGGTTGGCAGCAGCTGGGGCCAGAAAAGGGGACTGTGGCAATAACACTTAAGTTATTCCCCAGTCTGGGCTTGGCCAGACTCTGCCACACACGTGCTCAGACGTGCACACGCTCCTACAGGGGGACTGGCTATTCTGGCCCTGACGGGTGTGCCACCCACTCACAAAGTCTTCACACGTATTTGTCCTGGGACCCTGGGGAACATTTCACAGGACACATAAGGAATGGGCTCCCTCCCTCCTCCTCCCCGCAGCCCCCCAGCTCTCCCAGCTCTTCAACCTCCCCTCCTACACCGGGCTGAGCTCCTGCTGTATGCCGTGCCCTGACCTGGGCCTTTGCACACCTCACAGCAGTCCTGTGAGCCTTGGACCACTTCTTTCAAGTGGGGAAACAGGCTCGGGGAAGCAAGGACTTGCCTGGCCACACGCTCCGTAACGGAAGAGCAGGGCCCAGTCCTCAGTGTTGCCTCTGCTCCCTGCCCTTCCCACCCCACCACCTGCCTCCCTCTTGCTCTCTACCTGGTGAGTGGCCACCATTTCACTGGGGTCCCCTGAGGAACATGGTGATTTTACAAGGATCCATGGTGCTTTCGTGGAAGTTCTAGGGGCTCATGGCTCTGTTAATGGCTGAAGCTTCCAGGTCATTTATTCTTTCCTGTTTATGATGCCCGAGTGCTCACTGCATACCAGGCTCACATCTAGGTGCTGCGAATATACAGGTGAGTGTGCCAGTCCCAGTGGGTCATATGGTGGTCAGGGGAGACAAAAAGTGCCACCTCCCGTGAAACGAAGGGAAACATGCAGAGCAGAGGAGCTGGGAGGTCAGGGAGGACCTCTGACGAGGAACCCTGGCTGGAAAGGTAGGGTGAGGCCAGCCTTGGAGAGCCAGGCAGGACGGGGCCCACGAAGCTCAACGGGCTTCCCCTGGAGGGGCAGCACTGCCTCCCGCCGCTAGGGCCCCTCTTCCAGAGACAAGAGGGCTGGAGCTGGGGGTGGTTTGCTGGCTAGGCTGGGCTTCCTGGTAGCAGACTGTCTGAGCTGCAGGCCCTGGGCCGCACTCAGCGGTGACAGGAAGTCGCGCAGCTCCACATAAAAGGGCCAACTGCCCACAGGGCCCTTGGGCTGTGGCCAAGGGACAGGATGAATGAGATGGCTGCTCCTGCTGGGCCTTGCTGCCTGGGAAGGTGGCACCAGGCCAGGGACACGCGGAAATTTGAGTGGAGCCAGCCTGTGGGCAGGAGAAGAGGTACCTGGAAGGGGCCTGTGAGCAAGTGCTCACCAGAGCTGCTCGGAAGCCCCTTAGCAGAGCCTCCCTCCCTCCTGGCTTCCTTGGGCCACCAGGACCCCACCCTGGGCCTGGACACTGATCCCCCTACCTATCCAACCCATTGTCAGCATCCAACCTCTTCAATTATATAACAGCAAATCTTGGCATGGCTGCCTCTGAGCTGTGTGCTGAGGCAAATTACTTAACCTCTCTGTTCCTCAGTTTCTTGTAAAATGGACTGTAGCAGTCACTTCTTCATAAGGTTGCCATAAGATTAACTGAGAGAACAAGTCACACAGTGCCTGTCAAGAAAACGTTCCGTACATGTTGTCACGGATGGTCCCCCCTCCATCCAGAATGGTCTGTGCTCCAGACGCCCAGCCAGGGACACTGCCCCTCCAACTCCCGAGTGATTTCAGGGACCCCAGCTCTCAGGGGCGCTTGCGCCTCCAGTTCAACCTCAGTTCCAACAGTGCCTTTGTGCCACTCAGCTGGGCCCAGGCTGCTCTTCCTACCGGGGCCAGAGGCAGGGTCTGCCTAGCGGTCCTGGATGGATGGGGCCCTACTGACTCACCGTGGAGATTCAGAAAGCCCCAGCCCTCCCCAGAGGTGGTGCGGGCTCAGGTCAGTGCCCCGCAGTCACCACGAGGTGGCAGCTGTGCCACACAGGCGGAGGCCTGCAGGGGTGGGGTCGGCCACCACCAAGTCAGTCCCCCTTGGGGCACTGACCCCGGGAGCGGCAGGGTGGCTGCCAGTTCCCACACTGCCCCGCTCAGCCCATGGTGCTGATGGAAGGGATCTTCGTCCCCAAGCCCAGGCCCCACGCCAACTCCCTTGCCCTCTGCCCCCCACTCAGCCCCCACCACACACACACACTTTCTCAGGTGGAGCTGGGAGCTTGAGTTGTAGGTCTGGACGAGGGACCTCAGCCCTACCTCCTGACTCACTAGGTTGTGAGGAAGATTGGGAGAGACAAGCCAGGGGACCAGCAAGCAGGAGCTCTGGAGGGGCACTCCCGCCCTGTCCCTCGGAGCTCCCAGGAGCTGGGGGCTGCTCCTACAAAGCTCCACGCACCCACCCCTGAGGGGTACCCCCTCCGCACGCCTCCATGGCAGACAGCATTCAGATCTGTGTGTATTTCTAGTTCTACCGTTTACAAAGGAAAGCATGAGTTCACTCCAGTAATTCCAGTTACAAGCTGACGCCGTGGGAATCCTGCTAGTTTTCCCTCCCCCGTTTATGACTTCCTCCAGCAACACTGAGAAACCCAGTTCCCCTTCCCCTCCTTTACTTGGCTCAGTGCCTCGTGGCCACCACTGCCCTCACCCTGCAGAGAACTCACCCTGCTTGGGTTCTCACCCACTGGATGCGCCCCAGAGCCCCTGCCTGCTCAGACCTGGTCCCCACCCAGGGCAGGCCCACACCCCCCTGGGCCCTGCAGCCCACCCCCACCTCTAGGCAGCCGCCCCCTGCCTTGGTCCCAGCTAATGGCTTTGGGGCCAATTGTGCCAAATAGGAGCGAAAGAAGAGGAAGAGGTTTCATTTTAAGAAGGTTGCCAGAATAATCCTCTCAGAAGTCATGTCTGATGCCCCTGTCCCCGAAAACCATCCCAACGTTTGTGCAATCCTGGTAGTTCCACCTCCAGACTACCCCCGCCTACATCTTGCATCGGCAAGCACCACAAACACCCTCAGGCAGTGTATTAATTAGCACCGCTGGCGGTGGTTTAGAAGACAGAAATGTATTACCTCACAGTTCTGGGGCCTAGGGCTGGGCTCGTAGACAGCATTCTTCTCCCTGTGTCTTCACGTGGTCTCCCTCTGCGTGTATCTGTGACCTAATCTTGTATAAAGACACTAGTCAGATTGGATTGGGGCCACCCTAATGACGTCATTCAACCCTAATTACCTCTTTAAAGGTCCTATCTCCCAACAGTCACATTCTAAGATAGGGTTAGGACTTCAATAGACGAATTGGGGTGGTGGGGGAACAAGCCCAGCCCTAATGATCAGATATACTGATTACCTCTGGACCTTCTAGCCATTCTCCCAGGCCCATCTGCTCTGCTCTGGACATGGTCCCAAGACCACATCACCCCTAACCCACACAGGCTCTTGCAGAGGGGTGACCACATGGCACACTCACTGTGCACCCCTGCCCTGGTAGGGGTGTGAGGGTGGCTTGTACATCCATTCTTGGGCCAACCTGGCCTTGGGAACTCAAAAAGGATGGGCCACGAGGGCCAAGGACAGAACAGAAGAGAAAGAAGGCCACAGGGCCCAGAGTCTGGGCCACGGCTGTCCTGGTCCCCACTGCCACCCATTACGTTTCAGGGCAGATCCAAGGTGGTGGGCTGGTGGGGATCACCGCTCCCCACCCTGGGGCAGGACCGCTCAGGGGGCAGCCCCCCAGGCTCCATCTTCTCCTCTTGCCTCTGACCAGGGCTCGGGCCTCTCCCTGCCCTGGGCCTAGGCGGGCCTGCACCCTGCGTCTCCCCCACCCCCACCTGCCCCCATGCAGGTTGGCTCCATGCTGAGGTGGCACCTCTGGTCTGGCTGACACAGAGAAGAAGTCCGCACCTACCCAGGCCCCAAATCCTCAGTGGGTCAGTCATGGCTGGCTGGGCCTCTGTGATTACAGACAGGGAAACAGAGGCCTGGGGAAGAAGGGAGAGGCCTGCCTCAGCTGATCTGCCACCGCCCCTCCCAGTGCAGAGTTCTGGGAGGCCCCTTGCAGCAGCCCAGCCTGGGGAAGAGTAACCCTACCCCACCCCAGAGGTCAGGGAGGGCAGCAGGGGCCGTCCGCAGATGCAGCTTCCAGCCCACCCGGCCACTTACTTTGTCTCTGATTTGGGGCAAGCCCTGGCCTCTGGGCTTGGTTTCTCCATTGGTTAACAGAGGAGAGTGAATTACATGATCCTGAGGCCTCTTCCCACTCAGTGCCCAAATTCCACAATCCTCCAGGAAAGAAATAAGGCAAGAAATCACAGTAACAGCAGTGGGGACCTGGGGTCCTGCACTTGTGCAGGCCGGCAGGCCGCGCACGGGAGGTGAGTAGCTGAGTTCCTGGGCCCTGAACAGCCCGTGCTGGGCACCCGCTGGGGAGCCTGCAGGGTTTGGGGGCAGGAGGGAAGTGAAACCCAAGCTGGGAACATCCCTGCACGCGCCCCCCAGCCCCTCCCGGGGCTAGCGCCCGGAAAGGGGAAACAGATGGCCCACTGAGGAGGAGGGCAAGCGGGCCTCTGTGCCCTCCTGCCCTCACAATGCACTTGGGGTTATGGGTCTCTGCCCTGCTGCTCCTGAGATGGAAAGAAGAGGAATCTCCGTTATATGGGTGAGGAAAGTGTAAGACAAAGGTCAGCTGACCAAGCCAAGATCACACAGCTGGAAAGAAGACAGGCGTCTCTGAGTCCTGCTTTCTGGGGAGAAAGCCTCCCTGCAGGGGTGCATTGTGTTCTGGGGCTGGGGCTATGCCTAGGGCTGCTTCAGGGCTAGAAAAGTCACTGTGTGTACATGTGTGTGTGTGTGTGTGTGTGTGTGTGTGCCCATGTGTGTATGCATGCGCATGCTTGCATGGGCAAATGTGTGCAGGGCCCTATTTAGTCTGCAGAAGCTTCCTGGCCACCTGCGGGGAAGAGGCAGCCAGACCAGGACAAAGCAGGGGCCCTTCACAAGCCCAGAGAGGTATACAGACTCCGCCAAGGCCACACAACAAATCTGTGGCACAACTAGAATCCAAGTCTCCCCCTGAACTTGTCCTGCAGGAAGGGAGGGGATGGAGCACGGGTGGAAGTCCCTCTGTGCAAACACCTCCCGGCACCCTCCACCACGCTCTGGGCTCCATAGAATGTTAAACCTCAGGCACCAGCTTGTCCAGTGGGTTGTAAACCTCTCACCAAGCACCTCCATTTTCATGGTTTTCCCCAGGATCCCGGATTCAGAAGTTTCTGTTTGTTTTGGTTTTTCTCTCTATAAAATGTTTTGCACTGTATTAAGGAGTTAATATTTTTCTATGCATCACAATCAGACTTGGTGTCCATGCTGCACACTGGGCAGATGTGCTGTTTCAGCCAGGAGCGCTCTAGGAAGCCCTGTTCGTGGGAACTGACCACACAGCCCATCTGTCCAGCCCCACTGGGCCCATGCACTGTGGGGCAGGAGCTGAGGAGAGCTGTGCTCACCCTGGCTAGGGCTCCCCCACGGCTCCCACAGGCCTTGGCCTTCACCCTCACTGCACACCACCATTCTTGACCCCCTGGCTTCTGCGCTGACCCCTTGTGGACATGGCTCTGGCTCCCCATCTCCCCACCTCAATTCTGCACACCCAGCTTTAGGTGGGCTCTCATTTGTCCCAAAATCTCCAATACTTGGGGATCTTGGCTTTTAGCCCCCAACTTCCAGAGATGAGCCCCATCCCCTCTGTCCCTCACCAACTCCTGAAGCCAGGGTCACTTGGCTTCCAGTGTCCGCATGAATCTGCACAGCAAGGGAACTGAGCCCCTACCACCCCAGGATTTGCCGGAGCCACAGAGCAATGGAAGGAGTGAGATTATGTTCTGGGAACTTCCCAAAGCGAAGGAAGGACATCTGGAGGCAGGCTACTAAAGAGCATGGTCGTATAGCTGCAGCCCCATCCAGGTTACCCAGGGGACAGGAACTTGCCAGCCCAAATCGGAGATCTCAGTAGCCCTTCCCTACTTGTCTGAAGTAGAACAGAGAGAAGACCTGTGCTTAAGTCTAGATAACTGAACGAAGTGGCGAAGTAACAAAGATGCTTACCACCAAGAAAAGGGTCTCTTAGTGAACTCCCAAGAGGCTTGGAAGAGCGGGGAGACAAAATGCAATAATTTGAGCAGCAAGAGGGCTTTAAGGTAAAGTACATACTCGAAGAAAGGGGAGTGCAGGCAGCCTCAAGTGGCACACTCAGAGGCTTGGCATTCATGTCTTTTAAGGATTTCAAGAATGGGGTAAAGGGCTAAGGGGGTGTTGGCTTGACATGTGGTCTCATGATGTCTGTCTCCATTGAGAGACACTATATCTTCATCCACAGTCTGTCTTCTAGATATTCTGTAAGATGAATTTAACACAAGGAATTTATCAATCCTGTTCTCCAAGATGATGGTTGCCCTCGAGCAGTGGAAACATACTGTTTTAAAACTTGCTGCCCTGCCTTAAGATAGGGTCAGTTGTTGGCTAATTACCATAAAATATGTTGGGAATCTTACCTGCTAACTCCCTGGTTTTTAAAATGGAATCTTAGCCTTAAGTTGGAGTCCCTCCTGGTCTTAGTATTTATACTTCTGCATTTTTCATCATAGTCAGGAAAAATCAACGATGATGTTCGTCCCCTGTCTCTGCTCTACCTCAGTCCCATCCCTTCCATCCATCCGTCGCTGGCCTGTCCACTATCCGTCATTCATTCATCCAGCACAGATGCCACATAACCATCCAATGCTTTCTTCTGTCACCCATCCATCCAGAGCCTGCAGAGATGCCTGCCACACCAGGGACATCAAGGGCCCATCAGTAAGGGCCACTGAAGTAGGGACATCACACAGCAAGGACGCAGAGGTGCCAGGCCAATGAGATGAAGCCCTTTCTGACATCCTTGCCCCCAGCGCAGAGAAGAACGGGGAATGGGATCCGGAAGACGGAGGGAAGGGGGCTAAAGGAGCGGGCCAGCCCTGGTCCCTCCACGTCCCTCGAGCAAGGCCCTGATGTACAGGGGCAGGTAAGGAGGGATGCCAAGTCAGACGTGAGATGGAACTTTGAGACTGGGCTCTGGCATGCTTGAACATGACAGGAAAGTTAGAGAACTTCCTGAGGTGTCACAAAGGCTGCAAAGGGGAAGCAGGCATGGAGGAAAGCAGTGGCTGGAGGAAAAAGATCACACTGACGTCAGTGAATTGTGACCTTGGATCTGTAAGCTCAGGGGGGTGCTGGGGAGAGCAGGATGGCTGTGAGGTAAGAGGCAGATGAATCCTACAGTTCCGATGCCACCTGGAAGAGGACAGGAGAGCCCAGAGGTGAGAGGGGAAGAAGGAGGGCTGAGGCCCCGGGCGACCAGGCAGGCTGTGGGGAAGGTCCAGGATGGATTACTGGGCTGCCGGGCTGGGAGGAGCAGAGTGCCCCAAAGAGGTTTGGAAGAACACACCTGTCTGAGATGTTACGTTACACTGTTGTAGGGACCAGGGCAGGCTGCCCCAAGATGTGCCATTGTGGCATGCAGATTATTTCAAGAGTTGAGAACAAAGCCCAAAAGACTCAGAAAGAAACTTTGACCTCGCACCTCACAACTGCATAAAAAGAATTTAGGTGGGGGAACTGCTCCAGGAGGCGAGCTCTCACCACGGAAGCTATATTATAACGTGAACTGGCTGGGGGAGCCTGGGAGGAATGTGATGAAGTCTGTGAAAATTCCTCTTTGTGTCCCCTCATTGTTTCTGGGTGACCCATCAAGTATTGTGTAGGGAATTGCTTCCCTTTCCCTTTTGAGGTCTCAGGCCCCTGCCCCCTTCTCTCTGGTTCAGGATGACAGACAGACCTCATTCTCCTTGGAACCCTGTCTGTGGCTTCCCTTATGTGTATCTGACTGAACTGTGGTTCTTTTCTCCTGCTAATCTGTCTCATGTCCATTTGGTTCTTAGACCATCTAGAAGAACCTCGAGGGGTAGAGGAAATTTCTTCTTCCCTAGCAGTGTCTTCTCTATAGGGCCTGATGTCACCCATCTCTGGGACCCTAAGATCTTAGGTCAATGCTGTGCTCACAAGTGTTTATCAAGAGGGGGGTTTTGTGGAAATATAGGAACAAAGTTTCAATCTGAGTCAGCAACAGAGCAGAAATGACTCAGAGAAGAGGGAGCAGCGGGCCCAGGGAAGTGGTGAATTTTACTGCCCATGAGGTTAAGGGGTTAAAGCATAAACTCTGTCTTCCCCTCAATGTCTTCACATGCATCCAAAATAAATTTCAAAAGGCTACTCTGTGTTTTACAACACCTACACCCCCCCAAACCCCAACACACACCTAAAACCTTTCACTTGCTCTCAGGTGTAGACCCACTTCCTGGCCTGGCCTCCAAGGCACTGGGTCTGGGCCCTGCCACACTCTGGATTCTCTGCCTTCCAGACACACAGGCCCTCTTTCACACCTCCGCTGCTGTTCCCTCTAGAACTGCCCCACCTCCAGCCCTCAGGGTTCAGCTCAGGTCCTGCTCCCAACCTCCTGACTAGATCATTCATCCATCTTGGAATTCACCTCCATGACAGCAAAGAGGTGTGGTGCACTCACAACAAGGCTCCCCGTCCACACCTTAGACCTGCCCTGATTCCTGCCCTGGCACTTGGCCCGTCTTCCCTATGATTCCATTTGAATCCCAAATAAACTGGGGTCTGTCTTCAAGGGGCCTCTCCAACTTGCCCTCCTTGTAGAGGCAAAGGGGGGCCCCCCACTTCCAGCAGGTGATGGTGGAGGGGGGCCCCCCCCACATTTCCACAAGGTGACTGCATGAGCAGGAGCCTGAACTTGTCAAGTCCATGGCTGCACCCAGACTCACCTGACAGGACTGGGGGCTCTGTGAGGCATAACAGAGCCTCCTCATTGGACAGCTTATTTTTAATACAGGTAAATTGGAGGTCGAATCATGTCCCTTAGGACACACAAAACACCCACACAGCAAAACCCCCCACCTCAGTTAGTGACACGTAAGGCTTTACATCTCACCCTCCGACAGAAACCTGGTAAAAACTAGCACACAGTCATAGACTAACAGGGCCATGCAGCTAATCCCTGCATTTCAAATCCAGTCTTTGCTTGCACGCCCCCAGTGACGGACGTTCACTGCCTCCCAAGCCCATCTGACCTGGCCGGCCCGCCAACACTGACCTATGAAGCCAGTCATTAGATCCCCTTGGCATATTGTTCGATGGGTACTGGGTTCCAGTTTGGGGAGATGAAGAAATCCTGGAGATGGATGGTGGTGATGGTTGCACAACAGTGTGAATCTCCTGTACACTTAAACATGGCTACGAGGGTACATTTTATTTTTGTATATTTTACCACACACAAAAAATGCTTCATAACTTACAAGTTGTGTGGCTTTGAGTACTTTTTAAGTAACTTTTTTAAGGATTGCTTACAAACTGACAGTTTAAGCCAACTCCTAGGCCCATCCCACCTCTTCGGTCCTGATTTGCTTCCATTCAGTCTTGTCCCCCTCAGGTCAGAAACCTGGGTTCAGCATTTCCAGCTGCAAATCCTGCCTCTGTCCCTTCACGGGCTGTAGTCACTGTGACGCCCGCCCCCTGCGTGCGCCTCCTGTGTGCTGGGCTCTGACAGTGCATGGACCACCAAGTCACAACCTTTGTTCCCAGAAACACAGGGAACAAGCAGGGTTTTTTTTTCTTTCTTTCTTTTTTATTCTGGGAACCTGCAGGGCTCCAGTCTCCATGAAAGTCCTGCAGGCCTGGGCCACAGTGACCGGCCCACTCACCTGAGTGGAGTGATGACAGCAGCCCAGGCCAAGCACTCATCATGCCTGTGAGGGTGCAGCCTGTGACCTCCCAGCAATGCTGGGTGACACAGGGCAGCATGGGGACATGCCAAAAGACAGGAGGTAGGAATTGCCATCTCTGAAATCCCATCCCAGATCAACCCACCAGATGCCCCGCATCCCAGACCCGCCAAGCAGGCAGTGTACCAGGAGGATTGGACAGCTGAGCTAACCCACAGGTCTCAGACTGGCGGTTTGAGGGCCACATCAAGTCTTGTAGAGTGATTTTTTTTTAAATTGAGTTCATTGCCAGTGTTTGAAAATCTAAGCTTTCTCATTTCTCTTTTTTTAAAAAAAGAGGAAAGAGGATGTCGCTCATGGCCAGAATGGCTGGAGCTGAGTTCCAGCTGCTCCCGTTAGACGGGCCATGTGGCCCCAGCTGCCCACACCCTGCCTCCTTAGCTTTGCCCACTCAGCTGCCTGTCAGGCCTCTAGAGGTCTCTGAGTTTGGGATTTCTGATCTAATTCAATATGCCCTGGGTCACGGGAATGTGATGAGGCCCAGAGGGCGAGTGACTTTCCCAGTAACTCATCTGGGAAGAAAAGCTCTAGAATCTCAGCGGGGGGGGGGCCATTAGCACCCACTCCCATCCTCTAAAAAGCCTCTGAGGGGGCTCTGCTGATGGGCGGCAAGGTGGGCTCCCCCTGTGGGAAAGGGAGGGGTGGCTCACCAGGAAACCCTGAGAAGACTGCCGGTCAGGGACCGCCTCCAGCCACAGACATGCCCCTCTTGCGGGACACAGACAAATGCGGCGCAGTGCTCTCCCCTCTCCCCCTCACCACAGGCCTTGTCTCCCGAGCCTAATGCTGACTCCATCTCCCCTCACCAGCTCTGCGGGCCCTGGTTCTTCAACCAGAAAAATGGGGGCACTCATTGTGGCAGGCAGAACTGAAGTCTCCCCAGGTATGTTTAGGAAATAGCAGGTGGGCTGTTTCACTGGCCAGATGTGCAAGTTGAAAGGCATTTGGGGAGGAACGTGGAGAGGAAGTGGGCTGGGGAGGATGCAGAGGGAGGAAGGAGGGATGAAGCAGCCACTGTGAGAAGAGGAACTTGGGAGAAGCGATGATTAAGGGGACATAGGTCAGGATGGCTAGGCAATGCTGAGCGATCACCCTCCGCTCAGTAACTCCAAACAACAAAGCATTGCTTCTTCCCCCCACCCCTGATTTTATTGAGATATAGTTGACATACAATTTTGTATTACATGTTTAAGGTATACAATGTGACAATTCGGTATATGTACATATTTCCAAATGATTAACCACACCAATTTAGTTAACAACTATCACTTCACATAGCTACAAATTAATTTTCGTGTGGTAAGAATTTGTAAGATCTACTGTCTTAGCGATTTTCAAATACACGTTATTGCTAACTATAGCCATCATGGTGTACATGACATCCCCAGAAAAGGGTTGTTTCGTGTGCACACTCAAGGCCACGGAGGGCTGGCAGGGAGAGGCATGGGACCCACATTGCCCATCCCAAGCTAGGGGAAAGAGCGCTGGAGGGTCTCATGCTGGCTACGGAACGCCCAGGCCTGAACTGTGACACAATCCCTGCCAGCCTCCAGTCACTGCCACAACTAATCCCACAGCCTCCCTGTCCCCAGGAGTCAGGAGGTGCGGTCCCATCGCCTCACCCAGGGGCCTGAGGTAGGACTGTGCCCCTGGCGCTGTGCAGGCCCCACTTTCTAAGTCCTGTTCCTGCAGAGAATCCTGTGACACTCAGGCTTGGGCCGTGTCTTCCTTCCTGGGCGGGGATTGCCCCAGTCCAAGCTGTAGCCCTGCCCAGTCTCCCCGCCTCTACCTGCCTCTCTCCTCCTCACTTCAGGGAGTAGGGAGGCAGGCAGGGAGCGGAGCCAAGGCACTTTTGTGTGTCAGTAATTGTATGTATAAAAACATATCCACAATAATAATAATAATTACTTTTTATTGAGCAATTGCAACAAGCCAGATACAATGCTATTTGACTTGGACAGTTTCACTTCACACAAGCCTAGGAGGTAAGTGCTGTTGTTATCCCATTTTACAGATAAGAACACTGAGACCCAGAGACATTAAAAGACTGGGCCAGGTTACCTGGCTTATTACTAATGGGATTCAAAGCCAGGTCTTGAGGATGTGTTTAACCACCAGACTTTGAAAGGAAGAGCAGTATCGTTTATATTAATAGGGCCACTTGCCTTTGTTTAGTGAACATTCCCACTTGACCCAAAGGCCCTTTCCCATCCTACATAATTAGTCACAGGCCTGATAAAGGCAAATACACAAATGTCATATTGAAATGCATGTAAATTCTGCCACTGACTAGCTGGGTCTCACCTCGTCTCCCTTATGAAGAGATGTAACACAACCCTGTTGTATTCTTGCCAAAAACATTTAGCTGGACTCCGACTGTTAGGCAGAAAGACAGACATAAGCAGGTGGGGGGAGAATAAGGCCAGTGACGCCCACTAAAAGGGACTCAAAGAGTTAACCAGATAAAACCAGAGAGCCAGAAAAGACAGAGTTACTTAGCTGAAGTCTCTCGAGAACCAGGAGGGACTTGGAATGTCCAGACACTTCCCAGATGAAAAACAACTTCCCAGAGGAGAAGCTTCTAAGAACAGACACGGCCCAGATAAAATACCAGAAGACAGAAACAGCAAGCATCAAGTGCAGCCCATGTCTTCTATTTACCAATTAGACCAGGCCCCCAAGGCCAAAGACCGTCAATCAAGGACTTCCCTGTCCTGCCAAAATCCCCACAAAAAGAAGCCTCACAGTAAGCAGCCTGCCTTTGTCTCCCTTGCCTCTGGCCTGCGCCTCCCTTGGAGTGTATTTAAAGAAAACTTCCATTCTGCTTCACTACTGTGTCCCTGCCTTTCAATTCTCTGTTTCAGTGAGGACAAGAAGCAAGGAGAACCGACTCAACCTGTAACATGACTATGAGAAAAAAGACAAATATAGAACATGGGACATTTCCAAGGCAACTAACTGATCCGTCTCTGCCAAACACTTCTCCAGGGGGCAATGTCATGAAAGACGATAGAAAAGCAAGACAGCCAAACAGAAGGTGGGAACCTCAACTGGATTATTAGGGTGGGGAGGCTCTAAAGAACTCTCTGGGAGATCATGGGTGAATTTGAATGTGGACTGATAGTACAGGATTTGCTGGAAGCAGCACTCACTCTCCTTGGTATGATGACGATAATGCAGACTTGTGCCCTTGTTTTTACAGATGACATGTCATGATGTCTGCAGTGTGCTCTCATGTGGTTCCAGAAAAGAAGTAATAAAGGAGAAAAAGAGAGTGTAACTCCAGGGAGAGGAAATACTGGGGCAAAATATATCTAAAACTGAAATCAGTCAAAGGGAGAAATAGAGTTTAAAACCTGTTTACTGCTTACAAACTGCAGTCCAGGGCTGTCTCTTTCTGCCCCAGCAGAAGCAAGCAAGACCTCCCCCTCACCTCTCAGGTCCGGATAAGCCCTCCGTCACCCAGGTAATTACCCACTGATATGGAGATGAACTTCCTGTCTCCACCCCTGAGGAACATCTGTTGATATGCAGATGCACTAAAGCCAGGTGAGATATTCTGGAAATATTACAATTTTACCCAGAAAGAGAGAAACAAAAGCAGCAAATTATGAAGAAAAGGTTCTCTAAAGGAAGAAGAGTATATGGGTGCTCATTGTGCTGTTCATTTCAGCCTTTTGGTAGGTCTGAAATTTTTTCAAAATAGATGGGGAGAGTGACATAGGAAAAGGGAAGTTGGACGAATCTGGTATTTCTGAGTGCCTCCCTGTTTTCAGGTCTAAGACCCTGTATTAGTTTGCTAGGAATGCCATAACCAAGCACCACAAATTGGGAGACTTAAGCAATACAAATTCATTTTCTCTGATTTCTGAAGGTTGAAAGTCCAAGAGTGGGCAGGTTTGGTTTCTTCTGAAGCCTCTCTCCTGGGCCTGCAGGCAGTGTTCTCTGTGCGTCCTCACAGTGTGTATCCTGGGGTCTCTCTCCCTCCCGCGTCTTCCTAGGACACCAGTCATGTTGGATTAGGGCCCACCCTAAGGGCTTGTTTTACCTTCATCACTGCTGTAAAGGCCCTGTCTCCAGAGATAGTGGGGGTCAGAGCTTCGACAGATGGATTTGGTGGGGGGAGGGGGACACAGTTCTGCCCACAACAGACCCTAAGGCCACCTTGAGCGTCACCTGAACTCCATGACGGCACAAAGAGGCCTCTTGAGCCAATGTGTTTCTCCTTCCTGAAGCCAAGCTCCTGGCAGGAGAGGGCTGCGGCAGGCATCTGCTAGGGGTGAGAAGGAGAGGGATGGAGGTTGTCCCCCTTCAACACCACCAGCACCAAACTTCCCCCATCACCCTACTCCACCCCACCCACCCCCACGCACCCAGAACACATACACCCCACTACCCAGGCTGCTCAGTAGAAAGTCGCGCCCAGTGACGGGGGACAGCACTCCTCCCTAATCTGGGTGCTGCAGAGTAGGCCTCTTCCTTTCTAGCTTCCTTAGTGGGTGGGTCCTGGACCCCAGGCTGGAGTCATCACTCTCCATTTATTATTGCTGAATTTTTTTCCTCCTCATTTTAAAAGAAATTAAAATTAAAACATTTCTGTGGGCCCTTAAGTGTGGCAAACTCCAGGCACAGAGCCTCCTTTGCCTAATGGAGAAGTCAGCTTACCTGCTTCCCAGCACTGGCCGCTGCTGAAGGCCCCTGGTACCCAAAGCCCCAGTCCCCCCACCCTTCTTCCTCCTCCAGTTTCCTTCCAACTTCTCGGGAAGGGAGAGGCAAGCAATGTATTTTCAAAAATAGACAGACAATTCTCTGATATGAATTATGCTCTTCCCCTAGTATATGAAAGACACTGAAACTATTTTTTGTTTTATATACTCCTTATCTTTCCCTTTCCACAGGGGAAAAAAATAAGAAGCAATCCAAATAGTGGGAGCTGGGCACTCAGGGTACTTATGTTGAATGAATGAATATGTCCACTGAATGGATTTTTGAAATAATGTGTACAAGAGGCTTGTAATAATTTGGGAACAGAAATGGTAAGCAAAAGGGAGAAAGAGCAACAAAACAGACTTTACAATCGCAGCCATTGGGAATTTGCAAAGAAAAGACTGTGAAGAGACACCCATTTCTTCAGCTGTGTTTGTTCTCTACATGTAATTGTATATATACTCCTTTGTGAGTATGCTATAGTTTATCATTTTTTAATCCTAATACAGTAGAATGTTAATAATGGTTGTCTGCTGGTGCAGGGTTATAAACTTAAATGTTGTACAATGGCCATGCAGTATTTCATAACTGGTGGCTAAAAATGGTTTTTTAAAAATGTATTTAAAACTCGAGGATGATAATAGGCCTGTGGGATGTCATTAAGAGAGCTTATCTGTGCCCCACAAAGGGGAAACTGAGGCCCCAGAGAGACAACCAAGTGTCTATTGAATTGGCCAGAAGGAAATCAGGGATCACTCAATGGCGCCAAGGACACTCCCAGGCGGTCACAGCAGTGCCCACGCTTCGGATGGGGCTGTTATGAAGTCACTTGTCCAAGGTCATTTGTTAAGGTGCCCACTAAGTGCTACTCCTGGGCTTTCTTAAGCCTCCCAACAGCCTTCAAGGCTAGTGCTGGTTGAGCTCACAGGCAGCAGGGGGCAGGGCATAAAGGCAGCAAGCCTCCCATCCGATGGGGGGCCGCCCGGCCCCCCAGTACAAACTGGCGCCACGCCCCGTGCGTAATCCTTCCCGAGCGCGTGGCTGCGCCTTCCTGCTGAGTCACGGGTGGGGCAGCTTTTCGCTAAGTCATGGTCCCGCTGTTATTTGTGCTGAGTCAAGGTCCCGCTGTCTATTTGTGCTGAGTCACGGTTCCAGCTGCGTCTTGATCCCTTGGGCAAAGCCCCCCTGCGGCGGGGGCGGGGCCACCGGCGCACGGCGACTCCCTGGGGCCGGCACGTCCCGGCTGATCGCTGACTCCTCTCAAAGTCAGGACTGCAACCCTTTTCCCCGCTCCCGCCAGTCCTCGGCTGCTGCCCTCCCTCGTCCTGTTTCAGGGAACTATATTCCTCGGCGTCCTGCCTCGGCCCGGCGGGGTGCTGAGGACGTCACAGTTTAAATCGCAAAAGCCCAGTGGGGTGGGCGTTATGGTCCCACCGAGAGGAGAGGATCTACTCTCTCAGAGGAACAGCTGCAAAACAGACACCTGGCTTGCAGTTGTCCAGTACGACAAGGTCATGCAACACAGAGGCAGGGAGAGCAAAGAAGCAGGACTGCTAAATGCAGGATCTGGGTTGGAACCTGCGGGAATGGGCTCCAAAGGATGTTTTAGGGGCAGTTAGTGAACTTTGAACATAGGCTTTATGTAATGAATTTGCATCGAAGTCAAATTCCCTGATGTTTATAGTTGTATTGCGGTTACAGTATAATGCGGGTTAAAGAATTGGAGTGGGCAGGGAGGGCAGTAGTCTTGCCAATGGGTTTCAGCCCCGAAAAATGACAATGGAACTTTCTTGGGCTGAAAGGGTTTATACTGAACTTTATTCCCACTGTGACAGGTCAATCACTAGAATCCCATCCACTCAGAGCGAAGTCTGCATGCAGCAAGCCAGTCTCTGCCTCTGGGCCTCTCTACCTCTGTAGCCATCTCAGTCTCTGTCCTCAGCGCTGCCACCGCTCCAGTCTCATCTCTGCGCTCTTGCAGCCCTGCAGCCATGCCACCGTGTGGCTCAGAGCACTGGGCAGAGCTCCTTATATAGAGTCAATAGCAACATATTGCCCATTTGTGTGCAGTGAGCTAGCCGACCAGGGCCAGGGGAGAATCCTGGCCACAGGAGCCTTCACTTTATCCACAGCGGTAAAGGGCCATGGTGTTTGCCATGAGCTCTCAAATGAGCCATGAAAAAAGTATACATTAAAAAATATTTTTTAATATATATATTAAAATGTGTATATAATCTACAGAGGATGAATGACAAAAACGAATGTGACAAAATACTAGCAACTGGTGAATCAAGGGACAATATACAGAAATCTTTTGTATTATTGCAAGTTCTGTGAACATTTGAAATTATTTCAAGGAACTTTATCTTTTGAGAAAAAAAATTATAGATGAGGAACCTGAGATTCAAAACTCCCAAATGAGAGAAAGGTTCCTCAGATGTTAGTGACCCCACCCTATTCAGAACCATCCAGAAGTTTCTAGAAGGACAAAGGCTGTGGTGGAATCACAAAAGGGGAACTGGATGCCACTTTCTGACCAAATGGCTCATGCTGACTGGGGGCTTCCTCTGTGCCAGTCTGATTCTGAGCTGGTTACATGTTTTAAACTGGTTTTATCCTCACCACGTCCCCTGGAGCTGATGCTGTCACTACCCTTATTTTGTCAGCAGAGGAAATAAAAGCTTAGTGATTACTCATGCTCGTGCTAAGTTGTGGATACCAGATGTGGCTGCAGCCCTTTTGCTTAGAATTCATTGCTTTAACTGGTCTACACTACCTTGACGTGCCTTGATCAGGAGGAACTGGGTTGACCATATCATGGAGCCACAGTCAGGCTCCTCGTGGGCCGGGCTGCCCGGAAGTCTGAACTTCCCAAGGACTGGCCTGCTACCTGCTCTGGCCTTAGTGCTGAACCTGTGCTAACAGGGGCTGGCCAATGTCTGAGGAAGATGTTGCTCTTTCTGGACCCCTCACTGTCCCGGCCAAGGTCTCTAGACAGCTACTTGTTACAGACCTTGACTGTGCTTTAGAGAGAAGGGAAGAAAATATGCCATCCCAAAAGATGCTGGGTTGGTGTACTGATTATTTTGAATCAAAGCTACTTAAACAGTGCAAGGACATGCTGACCCTCCTTTGTGCCCTGAAAGCAGGAAATAAAACCTCCCATGTGAATGTTACCCTCCCTGTACCGGGAGGGTAGGTGGCATCCTTATCACCAGAGACAAGGGATTCAAGGCTGAGGCTGTACCAACAGACCTTGTACTGCCCAGTTTACCACCCCAAAACCAGACTTCTGTCTTGTCAGTTTTTCACAAATTTGTTGATTCTTTGTCTAAAAGGTATAAAAGCTGCCTGCTTTGGTCACTTCTTGGAGTCCCATATTTTTGTGGGCTCCCATATATGAGAACTTAAATTTGTTTTTCTCCTGTTAATCTGTCTTGGATCAAGTTAATTATTAGACCAGTCAAAGAACCTACAAGAGAGGAAAAGTTTTTCTCCCCTACCAGAAACAGACACACCTGGCCTCAAGCCCCAGGTGAGTTACATGACTGCAGAAGGGAATTCAACCCTGCTAAGCCTTATGCATCAAATATGTAGCAACTGCCTGCTTTGCCCTGGGACTCGGGGCATAGGA